AATTTCTACTTGTATATCTCATTTACCAGCCCCTTCAACATGTTTTATCTTGACCTCTAGATATGGGGAGTGGGGTTGTGGTGGTACAGTTTGATAGGGCTAATCAGGATCAGAAGCCTCACTTGACGTGAATGGAGTGAAGGTGCCAGGCCTAGAGATAAGGCAGAAGTACCCCAGGTGAGGACAAGATGTGCCGGGAATGTCGGTGCACTCGTTAGAGCAGAGTAAGTAGGAGTGACCTCAGAAAGATCCTCGGGAAGGGGAAGTGTGTGTCTAGTAAGCTAAATTATTCTGACTTTTATCCTCAGTGAAAGGGAAGTGCTTAGGGAATTTTGAGCAGAAGAGGAGGAAGATGATACAGCACTTGAAAAGTCTGGCTACCTTGTTAAGAACAGATGGGAGAGTAGGCGTGGTGGTGGGCACGTGACTAAGCAAGCTCGTGCATCCTTGTAGGTGAAAGATACCAGGAATTGGGGTGGGGGTAGTGGCAGAGGTGATGTGAAGTGGTTGGATTCTGGGTAGATTTTAAAGGTAGGGCTAGGAAGGATGTATCAGTTCATTGAACATGGGGCCAGGAAAAGGAAAGTCAAGATGGATTCTTTTTAAATTTTTTATTTTATTAGCACATGTTGGCAGTACATAAGGATTGCATTCATCATGGAGAGTTGGTACAGGTACACATCTTAATTCTTTTTGCTTCCCTTTCCCCTTCTCTTGACTCGAAAGTTTTGGTGTCTTGACAGGATGGGGAATTCTGAATTGAAAGAGATTTGTAGGAACAGGATTTTGGGGAGGAGGAGAGGGTGGATGGGAAAGTGGGGCAAGACCATTGGCAGCTTGGTCTGGTGTCTCTGAGACGTTTACACGTTGGTGCTCATTGTTTATTTGTAACAACTCACAACTTAAAATTGCATAGAAAAACTTCATTCTGCTCAGAGATTCTGTAAATCAGGAATTTGGACAGGGTACACCAGTGTAATGGCTTATCTCAGCTTGTATTTGGGTCCTGATCTTGGAAAAATTCCAGTGGCTGGGACTGGACTGACTTGAAGGCTAGACTCTGTGTCATGGGCTTTGAACGTGGCACTGGTCCCTGGTAGGGGCTTTTCAAGAATGAATGGTGGAAGTAGGAAGTGCATGATCTTTTCGGACCTGCATCCAAGTCATGTAACCTCACTTCTGCCACATTGTTCCTTGCAAATGAGATACACAAGCCAGTTGATTCTAGGGAAGGTGATCTTGGGTCACATTGGAAAGGGCCAGGTGGAATGAGATGGTACAGCAGGTGTCTTCAGAAAATAAAGTCTGCAAGTGCATCAAGAGGCAGTGTCAGTTTAGCACTTGTATATGTGAATTTGGAGCTTAGGGAAGAGGTGTGGTCTATACACAAAAGTAATTACCATATGGGTGCCATGTAAACCCATGGGATTAGTTGAGGTCATGACAGGAATTAGTACAGACAGAAGCTCCAAGGGCCAAACCCTGGGGGGCCTACAATAGTGTCAAAAAACAGAGAGGAGAGGTGTCTTGGTTACTTTTCTCTTGTTGCTGGGACAAAATACCTGACACCAAAAATTAAGGAAGGAAAGGTTTATTTCGCTTACAGTTTGTGGAGGTTTTAGTCCATACTTGGCAGGTTACAAGGCAGGGTGGCAGATGGCAGAGGGCTAGAGCTCATGGCGGCAGAACATAGCAAAAAGACAACAAGCACAAAAGCCAGGAATGGCCCCGAGCAGCCTCTTGCTTTCCCTTACATGTGCAAACTGTCCACCCCAGGGCAGGTGCAGGTCTCACACCCATAATCAATCAAACTCTAAAAGCCTGCCCCATGACCACATGTCGCTTTGGGGGGACACACAGACACAAACCATAACGAGGTAAAACTAGCCAAAGAGCCGGAAGTAACCAGTGAGACAGGGAGAAAGTGTCATGTCTGGAGTCACAGGGAAGAAGGCATGTGAGGGACAGGCGGCTGATGGGGCAAGTATGACTGGGACAGAGTGGGCCACTGCATTTGAAGTCACTATGACCTGAGCAGTCCTGGTGTGTGTGCGTGCCTATCACGCTGGATTGCAACTTTGAGCAGGTTCGAGAGTGGAGGAGAGGAGTGGGAAATAAGTAGTATGACCAGTGCATTCAGGGAATTTTGTTACAAAGGGAACAGAGGGGGCTGGGGATTTAGCTCAGCGGCAAAAGCGCCTGCCTGGCAAGCGCAAGGTCGTGAGTTCGGTTCCCGGTACCGGAGAAAAACCAAAAAAAAAAAAAAAAAAAAAAAAGGGAACAGAGAAGGTGGTAGCTGGAGGAGAAAGTAGAGGGGAAGTAAGTGCATGTTTTCATGGCCCACTGAGTGTTACCTTTCTTCATTGTAACAGTACCTGAGGTAAGCAGTGGAAAGGAGGAACCAGATTTATTTGGGGTCAAAGTTTCAGAAGTGTCAACCTTGGCTGGCTCCATTGCTGTGTGCCGGAGGTGAGAGAGACCGTCATGGCGCGAGGTTGTGGTGGAGCAGCACCTCATGGTACTTGGGAAGCAGAGAAGGAAGCACGCAGGGATAAAACATGCTTCTCAAAAGGCACACCGCCGGCGATACATCACCGCACCCCAAAACTCACCCATCTCCCCGTAGCACCACCAGCAGAGGGTAGGCCTTCCGCACAAGAGCCTTTGGAGGACGTTCTAGATTGAAACAAGTGGGTGGGGAAGTGGGCAGCGTAGGAGTGCGGTGAATTGCTGGAGCAACATCAGAGTTTGGAAGGAAGGGGCGAAATACACTGGCGTGTGTTTTGGGTTGGCCATGATGGGGGTGACAGTATGAACACATGTGACGGCAGGTGGGAGCTGTGGGGGTGCAATTTCGGAGTTCTCTTTTGGTTCATTTCTCCGACTGAAGTGAGGGGTGTGCTGCTAGTACATACCGTTAGCTTGCTTTTGACATTATATGAATTTATTCTGCTAAAGAGCCTAGAATAACCGGTGGCATGTATTAAGCACCCAAATGATGGCAATTAATTGCTATCGTGGGTTCCCAAATTCCAATATGTGGGATAACATTTGTTCATTAGGATTTTTTGTTTTTCTGGAGCAAATGTAAAAATGGGGATAATACAAATATTCCCTGCCCACCAATGCTTGACTTACCATTTTTTAACTTTATGATGGTGCAAAAGCAACATTTAGTAGGAACCATAGCTGGGATTTTGAATTTGGATGTTTTGCTGAGCTGGTGTGGTCCAGTCCAGTCTTTTCTCAAGATGCTGGGCAGCAGTAACGACTGCAGCTTCCAGTTAGCCCACAGTCACAAGGAGAAACAGCTGACACTGCCCTGTACTGTGCTGCCAGGCTCTAGGGTGTTTGGTAAGTTAGGTGGCTGAAAGACATTTCAACTTAGATGATTCTGATTTAGGATGATCTGTCTGGATGTGACTACAGCACAAGTTGAGCAACTACATAGGTATATTTCAAATACAAAGTTAATATATTAATCTGAGATTAAGTCCCTCCTTTTAAAGTGGAGTTTTCACCTATGAGAAGTTGTGATAGTAGATAATCAGGGTTTTTAAAAATAATCTTTGCCAAATCAATAACATACTTATAAACGTAGAGCTCAGTGTAGTCTCACAAAATGAGCACACTTGTATACCATCATCCAGACCAAGAGATGGAAGACTAGCAGTACCCAGTCGGAGTTTTTTGGGTTTGTTACATGTTATGTTCTCCCTGCAGTGTTCTTAGTTCACACAAGAGAAAGCTGGCCATCCATGTGCTGGGACCCAATCCTTTTTCAATATTTTTTGTCTTGTGAAACACAAAAATTTGGTACTGTGTTTGACAAAGAGGAGCCCAGCAAACCTTACCGTGCTGTCCTTTTGCCAGAGGGGGCAAAATAAAGAATTCCCAGAAGTACTATTACATTTCCAGAGTCATGAGAAAACATCTAAGTATGATGACACTAATTCCTCAAGTATTCTTCAAATCATTTGCCCAAATGAGTGACTTCTTTTTTTTTTTGAGACAGGGTCTCACTATGCAGTTCAGGCTGACCTTAAACTCACTGTGTAGCTGAGGCTGACCTTGAATTTGCAGCAGTGCTCCTGCCTCAGCCTTCTGAGTGCTAGGATTACAGGGACACGCCACCAAGCCTGGCCTGAGTGACTATTCTTATGTTACAAAAACCAGTGTTTTAAAAGGATTGCAGATCTTTGAAGATTAAAAAAACAAAACGCAACTCTGACCTCTTAAGTACAAATTTACTGAGATTAGTTATTTATGCCCTTCTCACCTTTGATCTCAAGAGAACTGGCCCAATTTTCTCCATGTTTCCCCCATGTAACTTACTTCGATGTTATCAGACAGAAAATACCTTGGTGTTCGCCAAAAGGCCGAGAAGTGATCAGACAGGAAATAGTATGGCTGCTACGTCAAGGTATTGGCTACTTCTATGTGTCATAGTTACTGGGTTATTTCTCTTCTTAATTCACAAAACCAAGCAAAGACTCCTTGACTGAAGCACTTTGCTTAGGGAAGTTCTCTGCTTTATGATTTTTGCTATTGTTTTTTATAGTTTCTGGCACATAACCTCTAATACACATGTGTAGGCATACTCACACCCTGTAATTGTTTATCAGCTGAAAATAGTGTTTACCAGGAACTGCCCCTCTAATTGCGGCACTTTCATCTGCAGCCAGTACTCACTCCGTGTATGCTTTACTCATGATCTTGTTCACGTTAGTGTTTGGTTTTCTGGGCAGTATGCTTAGTTTGATTTTATTTTTTACTTATAGTTTTTATTTACTTTATTAGCAGTGTCTGGATTGCATAGAGGGGCCACTGCATAGTACAGATGGAAGGCTCTATGCCCTTGAGTAGTATTTGGTTTTTGTTTTGTGTGTGTAGTGCTTAAGAATTGGCATTTAATGAGCTCTCTCAGAACATCCGTCCTCTCCCCTCCCCGACACATTCATGACCCCTTTTTTCACTTAAAGCAAGGAGAAAATACATGATGTTTTTGGAAGTTAATTTTAATATATGGAGATAGTATATAAAATACATTCAATCTGACTAGGAGTATATGACCAAATCATGTCTTACTTATATCTGTAGCATATATTCTCAATTTATATAAAAGTAACTTTAAAATTCCAGTTTCCTTAAATAGTTATGCACAAAACACACACAAACACATACACATATACACATAGTTCCTAACACTGTCAGTCAAAGATGCACTCCTTTAATCAATTTAAATGGGGCCAGCAAGAATCTGTTTCATGTTTGACATTCTTAATGGGCTAGGAAAGGGCATTAGCTCCCAGATATGAGCAGTATCTTTCAGGATTTGGATACGTTTGTCCCCTTGGCTAAAACGAATGTCTGAGCACCATTTCTTGGGCTAAGTACATAAAGATTTGTAGTAATGCTTCAGTCCCAGTCCATCCACAGTTACATATAGATGATCTCACAAACCCCAGAAGGAAGTGCCTGCTCTCGGCTAGTGCCAACCATTTTTCTTATAAGTGGCAAGTGGTTCTAAGATTACCATCAGTTCACTAGTTTCAATTTTCAGTGCTATTTTATTGCCTCTGCAATTAAATATATTCATTACTATAAGCTTCCATTTTTCTATGTTAAGACTCCAATGGAACTATATTTTTTTATTTTTGCAAATGGATTTAAGTAGTTTGTAAGCCTGAGTCTTAAGCTGAGTAACACAATCTGAATAGATTATTTTCTCCTTTGGAAGAGGGCATTTACTAAGGTCTTTTATAAGAATTAGATTATTACAATGTAGTTATTATATGGGTAGCTGAGATTTTCCTTTTATCACTGATTGCTGGAGCCTGCCTGATTTGAAAAAAAGTAGACAATTAATTGGGGCCTTCTTTTATTTCCTGTTTAACTTAGGTCTAGTTATGTGCCCTATAATATTGCCAGTTGTCACAAGAACTTTCACGTATGGAAAGGAAAAGAACAAAGTTTTGCTTTTGCTCTTCTGGCCCTCTGCAAGTTTGTTTGGGTTTAGTGCTTGGTGGAGAGGCCTGCCTCACTCCTCTGTCCTGGCTGGTGAGTCCCCGAGAGCCACCAGGTAAGGCCCACCGTCTCACTGGGCAATGTGCTGACTCTCCCATCTCTTCGTGCAAAGAACCTTAAACAGAAATGTGGCAGATAGAAAAGGAAGCATACATTCTTCTAGCAAGTAGAGTTCATATTCTAGAATCAAGTGACATGCATAAGAGGGAGGATCTCTTCTCCCCCAGGAGCAGCGATTCACTGTTGCCCAGTTGCTTTGGATTAGCTTCAGCAGGTCCGTATGTCCTAAATACACAGACCAGAGCTTGGAGAGATAGCATCCAACAGAGGCTGAAGTGTAGGCACCCTTTTCTACCCTGTCTCCCTGTTTCTACCCTGTCTCCCTAGTCTGATCATCCTCAGACCCAAGGCAAGATGCAAAGCAGATGACAATAGGCTCTTGTTCTGTTCTGATGGCTCCTAACTAGTATCTTGAGTCCCCAATTGTAGAAATACATTTCATGTTACATATCACCTTTTTTAAAAAAAAAAAAATCAAGGAGCATAAAGTGCTTAATAGATACTGATTAATGCTCTTCCATATCCCTCCAGATCAGCATGAGACATCAGAATCCCCATTAAATAAAAAGGAAATATGACTGACTTCCTCTGCTTTAGGTCCCAATTATTGGGGTAAGCTGGTTTGGCTGTGCAGATGGAATTTGCACTCTGCCTTATTGGGTTTTGTTCCATCAATCCTCATTTTGGTACAGGAAAAAGCCCTCTACAAGACTGCATTTTCACTCTCCTTGGCTTCCTTTTATAGCTAACTGTACAAAACGGATAATACAAAAAGTTAAGTGTCTTGTCTATACATTAATACTTAATATAGAATCTGACATTTTAAAAAATGTGACTTTGAGCCCAATAGAAGACAGCCCAAACCAACCAACAATCCTTAGCTTCTTAGCAGCAACAGGCTGAGTGTCAGGCCTTCGTGCCCCGTAGGCAGCCCAGCCTGGGCCAAGTTCTCACTGTGTCTCGCTGGAGGAGCCACCCCTGTGGGCTGAGAGGGGAGCGCCACCTCAGTGCTGCCAGTCAAAGCATGCCATGTGCAGGAACAGTACAGAACGCGGCCCACAGGGAAACTTAGAGGATGTGCTTATGTTTGTCCTTTCCTTACCTCCTGGATTCCAGGAGATGTCCTCTCCCCTCTCCCCTGTCTGCTCCCAGTTGGGAGCTTGAAAGCCCGGTAGTCAGTGCTGGGAAACTACTGCAGAGAGCCCTCCCCCAGCCCGACCCACATGAAGCATCTCGGTCTTTCTCAGGCCGACTCTGGTTTTTTCTCTTTTCTTGCTCTCGTCCTTGGATGTCTTATGCTGGCTGGAGGACTGCAGAAACACTGCTTAGGCAGGCACATGATCCCTCAAGCTGAAGGGACCTTCGTTGCCCGAGTTGCAGGGCTGCTGGGCATGACCAGCTGGTCTGCGTTTCCCTGACCTGTGTGCTCGGGCCTAGAGGGCTGGAGCAGGTGTCACTGGGCTTACAATGGTGTCTCTACTACAGTGAGTAATATGGAAATTGAGCAGTAGTGTTCTTCACTTGTCACTATTTCTCTATTTATCCGGGGTTACATTCTTGTTAGTCAAAAAAAAAAAAGCAGTATTAAAATTAAGTCACAAAAAGCAGCTGCTTCTGCTCCCTGCAAAGATAAAGGTGTAAACTCATATATGCATAATACTGTCAAAAGCTAGTTTTCTTGGGGTGTAAATACACATGTACTTCTGAGAACAGGGCTTGTGCTGGGCCTTAGGCAGGTGGGGTGGAGTATAAGACCACTGAGTTATAGTCGGGGGGCGGAGAGCAGCACGAGTCCTCCTTTCCCAGCTCCAAGTTGTCATGCACAGATCTGATGTGGCCACAGCTGGAAAAGCAGAAACTGGGCCTGATGGCATCAGAAAGCCCCGACTCCTTACTTTTACTGGTTACGCACAAGCTGAAGAGAGAAAAGAAAAACAATCAGATGTACAGAATGGGTTTCCCAAAAGCAAACGCTAAAACCTACTCTCTTACTGGGTCGTCTGTCAATACCTGTTCCAGAGTTGATGGGTAGGGAGTCTTATCTCAGTCTCTGTAACACTGTCTTCGTTTTAAAACTGTACCCTGCCTGCCTCATACCAGCTTGGTGTCACTGGGCAGATAGAGGCATGCCAGCGGCTGGGGGTGGAATGTATAGTTACATAATACAAACCCATAATTCCAGGTGGAAAATAACTCCTCCTCCTATTCTTGGGTCAAATAGCTTGCATATCAGCTAAAAAAAATGTCCATATCCCAGAAACCTGTGAATATTACCTTATATGGCAAAATATATGATTAAGCTAAGGATCTGAAAAGGAGGCACTTAGGCTGAATATCTAATTGTGCCCCAAATACAATCATGGGAGGCAGAGGGAGGCCCATGACCACGCTCAGACAGAGATGGCCATGTGAAAGGGAGCTGAGCTGCGGCCACAACCAAAGAATACCCAGAGCTACCAGAGCACGGACAGGAGTGGATTCCTGCTCGGAGACTGTGAAGGGACAAGGACCTCCTGACACCTTGACTTTAGACTTCCAGCCTCCAGAACTTTGAGAGGATAAACTCTTCTTTTTTTAAGTCACCACTCGTAATTTATTACAACAGCCTCAAGAAGTTAAGAGCTTTACACACAAAGGTTAATTCCTTTGTGTGTCTCCCTGTCACACTTGTGTTCTAGAAGGAAAGCTTTCTAAGTTACAGGTCTATAGTTTACCGGTGTATACCCGTGAGGTTCAAGGGGGGGTTCTGTATGTTACATCCAGCCTCAAACACATGAGGAAGAAGAGTTCTTCCTGCTCACTCATATTTATTTGATTTTGTTTGTTTAGAAGTAGCTGGGAGGAGGGAGAAAAACTTGTGAACCACATTGGTTAGATGGGCTGGCAACTCCATGTGCTTTATTTTTAGTCTCAAAATAGAGGATACAATTTACAGTTTCAACAGAGATCCAGAACAAAGTAGTCACCCATTTTCTGATGTGTTCTAAAATAAGAAAAAGCAGTCCTCCTACTTTTATCTGTTCCTCATTGGTATTCTCTCATCTGCGCTGTCTCAATTCTAGTACCATGCTTGTGTTCACGTTAAAAGTAAACAATCATGCAGACGTTTTCCCATCTTTCTGGCTGACCTGATGACTTGTGTTGAGTATGTCACTCCCTGAAGGTATCTGTACCATTCTTTGATGTAGATCACACTTCAACATACTATAGCCCAGAGGCAGACTGTTTTTCTTTAATAAGAGTTCTATTAGGTATAATTTACATAATACACAAAGTTAAAGTGTACAAGTGTACAAGTCAATGGTTTTTAGTATTGCTATAGTTTGTGTGTTTAATGTCTCCAGAGGCCTATATGTAAAGGTCGGGTCCCCATGGTAGTATTATTGGGAGCAACTTTCAGGAGGCGGGGTCTAGTGGGAGCTCCTTAGGTCACTGGGTGTGTGTCCTCAGGGGACTGTGGGATCCCAGCCCCCTTCCTCTGTATTTCTTGGCCATGAGGTGAGCAGTTTCTTCCATCACATGCTCCCTACCATTGCCATCTGACACCTCTGTGAAAGCCCCAAAGCAAATGGGTCTGCCTAGTCTTGGACTGGAATTTGTAAAACTTTGAGCCAAAAATACCCTTTTCTTTCTATAAATTAATTATCTGAGGTATTTCATTATAGTAGTGCATTTTTAAAACTACATACATAAATTGTGTAACCATCACAACTTTGGAATATTTAAAACCATACCTTTAGCCTCACCTATGACCCCAACTCAAGGTAACCAATGTTTTTCTGATTTGCTTATTCTGGGGATTTCATATAGAAGGAATCATACAATATATGACATTTTATGGATATCTTTTACTTAGTATAATATTTTCAAGGCATATCCATGTTACAATGTGTATCGGTATTGCATACTTTTTATTGACAAATACTGCTTTATTGTACCAAATATACCCCATTTTATGTATCCTTTCATCAGCTGTTGGGCATCTGGGGTGTTCCTACTTTTGGCTGTTCTGAACAATGCTCTTATGAACATTTGTATACCTATTTCTGTGTGAATACATGTTTTCATTTTTCTTGGATATACACTTACAGATAGAATTAATACTAGGTTACTGGATAACCAGTTAAACTGTTAACCTGCTCTCCAGAGTGACCACACCATTTTGTATTTCTACCAGCAATGTGTAAGGATCCCAATATCTCCATATGCTCACCAACAGACTTTTTGATTCTACCCATTCTCGTGGGTGTGAAGTGGTATCTCATGATGGTTTTGATTTGCAGTACCCTGATGACTAATGATGTTGAGCATCTTTCCATGTACTTGATGGCTGTGTACCTGTTAAGGTTCACAGGAAAGTGGCCATGCTTACTTGCTTATATGTTATCTGTGGCTGCTTTTACACCACAATGGCAGAGATGAACAGGTTCTTACTATCTTGCCTTTGAGAAGGCTGCTGATTCCTGATATAAATGCCTGAGGAGAAGATTTACCTTTGGTTGAGAGAGGCAGGCATTTGAGCCAGGAAAGAAGGAACACTTAATAGGCCCAGCCTTTCCCAGTATGGCACTACTCCTAAGTAGAGAACAGCAAAGAAATGCTGAAGTCAATGGATTATAAAAAAGAACCCAACTCTAACAGTTGTGTACGAGGAGTCAACTGACTAAACGAGGGGTTTGTGGAGAAATCTCCAAATGACAAAGGGTAATGGGATCAACAGGAAGTAGAAAGTCCTTCATTGGGGGTATGTGAGAAGACCAGGGAGTGGTAAGCAGCAGAGTGCCTGAGTGTTGCTGTCCAAATGCAAGAATATAGCAACATGAGGAAGATGAGGGAGGGAAGTGGAAGTCCTGGACACAGGAAGGATCAGAGGTGTGAACTGAAACCCACAAGGGAGAAACGTCAAAGAAGAAGGAGGTAGCCAGCAGTACCTTCTCCCTGAGATGGGACTCAGTGCGAGAGAGGAGCTGACCAAACCTGCAGACACACGGTGACTGCTGGCAACCCCACAGGCCGTCACGGAGAGACGCAGCAGTGGAGGGGAGCAGCGGACATGAAGGACTGCTCCGGCTGGCCGTGAGTGCTGAGGGCTCAGTTGTCCCTCACAAGAGAGCAATTGGCCAGGAGCCATCTTGGAGAGGGGCCAGCTGAGCTCAGAATGCAGAGAGTGTCTAGCTCCATCTAGTGGCTCCCAGCTGGGCCCACAGAAGGTGCACGGACAGCAGAGACAAACCTGGAGGTGGACTTTTTTTTCCCCTTTCTCTTTCTCTCGTTTGTTTTTGTTGTGGTGGTTTTGTTTTTGTTCTTTTTGGTCTTTTTCTCCTTCATTGTTTTTATCTTTTTATATAATGTGAATGTGGTTTCCAGCCTCTTTGAGGTGGTTGTTCTGTTCTTATCTTTATCTCTTCCTTCTCTCTTTCCCTCCAGTCTTCTGTACCAGTTTCCCAAACTTAGCATGATCTCCCTTTGTCCTCCAGCCTTACCTCTAATTTCTTTATCTTCTACCTATTTTTTCTGTAACCCCTTTTAAGTTTTAACTCCTGAGGGTAAAATTGACATATTAAGGATTTATATACTGCATATAATTTTCTGGTCTGTTTTAGATTTCGTGATATAACTACACATCTATTTCATATGGTTAAAGATGGCAAATTAATGGTTACCTCAGTTTGTCATTTTCTAGGCTGTAACTGTTACTACTGTTATTGCTGATGGTATCATTCAGCCAAAAGTGACATAAATGTTCTAAACAGTTATTCTTCCTGGTGTTCTAAGACTGCGACTGACTAAGGGTCATACAAAGTACTGTAGCTCAGTGCCAAAGAATCAGTGGCTGGGCCAAGCTGGGAGCAACTTTTCATCCCCAACAAATTGAAGAGGTAGGATCTTGCAGCAGACTCAAAACTCAAAAACCAGCTGTACCTGAAAGATACCTCAGAGAAGTAGTCATTTCCTAAAGGTTCTAAATACTAGCAATAGTGCAACCCACCAAAGGCAATTTACAAGCATCACCCCAGGAATCAAACTAGAAAAGGAAATGAGAAGACACTTAAACAAGATGCAACCCCAGACATCCAGTTCACCAAAGGCAAGCCAAGAGGGCAATGGGGTGGGACAATCTGAAAGCCACCCATCTGGCCTCTCTGAAGTGGTAACAACAAAGCAACTGAAAGAAGCTCTAGAAAAAATGAATTAAGCAATAACCTCTCAGATAACTGTGGAGATGGTGTCCACAATGAAAACCATGCTTAGTGACTCTAGAGCAGATACAGACAAAAAATAGAAGAGCTTAAGAAAATTATGAAAGTCATGTATCTCAGCATAGGAAAGAAATGAAATCCATAAGGCAGACTCAAGCAGATATTCAGGAGAATAAAAATGCCATTAAAAGTATCCACAGCAGATTAAGCCAAGGTGAGGACAAAATCTCAGATATTGAAGATGGGCTTGCAGTTAGCAATCATAGAAAGATTCCTTAAAAACTGCAGGGCACCATGAGAAATAAATCCAGCAGCTGCTAGATGAAGCAAAGAAGAATAACTTAAGATTGATGAGGTCAATGAAAAAGCAGGAAATAGCACAAATGATATAAAAAAAAACTTCACAGTCATTATGGCAGAAAACTTCCCTGGTAGGGAAAAAGGATTTGACATACAGATAAGTGAGGAATATAGAACTCCAATTAACCATAATCAAAAAACATCTACAGCCAGGCATATCATAATTAAGATTCCAGAAATTTAACACAAGAATAGAATCTTAAAAGCTATTAGGGAAAAGAAACAAATCATCTATAAAGGAAAGCTCATCAGAATCACAACTGACTTCTCAGAACAAACCCTCAAGTCAAGGAGAGCTTGGAGTGAAGTATTTCAAGTCCTGAAGAAAACCAATTTTTAACCCAGTTGATATACCCTACAAAACTATCTTTCAAAACTGATAGAGAAATATACTTCCATGACAAAGAACCTCTGAGGAAATTTATGACCACCAAACAAGCACTCCAAAATGTTTTGAAGGACAATCTAGAAAGAGATAACAAGGACTACAACTCCATAGACCTTAACATAAGGAATCCACGAGGCAAAGCATACAAATGGAAGGAAAAAAGGAGGGGGAGCCAACAACAGGAAAACAACATGACAAGGATAAGTCAATACCTATCAGTTATAACCATCAATGTTAATGGTCTCATTTCACCAATCAAAAGACACAGACTGGCATAATGGATCAAGAAGCAAGATCCAGCAATATGCTGATACAAGAAACACATTTAATTCAAAAAGAAATTCATAGACTGAAAGTCAAAGGATGTAAAACAATACTCCATGCAACAGGAACCCAGAAAAAGCACGGGTAACTATTCTATTTGTAGACAAAGTGAATTGAAGCCAAAACTGATTAAGAGAGATAAAGAGTAGGTCACTGTATCCTTGTAAAGGGAACAATACAAGAGGAAGAGATAGCAATCATAAATATATATGCAACAAATATCAGCGTACCCAACTATATGAAACAAGTATTAATGGACATGCAAAATCAAATAAGCACTAATACAGTTGTATCGGGGGATATCAATACCCCACTGGCACAAAAAGATCAATTAGACAAAAAATCAGCAAAGAAATAACAGAACTGAATGAAAACTGTGAAAAATGGATTTAGATGATTACAGAGTGGTCTACCCAACAACATCAGAATACACATTCTTCTCAGCTGCACATGTGACGTTCACCAAAACAGACCACATACTAGCCATAAAACATGCTTAAGTAAATGGAAAGGAATTGAAATTATCCCACGCATATTATCAGACTATAATGCAATGAAATTGGACGTCAATGACAAAAGAAACCACAAGAACTTCATAAACACATGGAAATCAAATAGCATTCTCCTGAACAACCAGTGCATCACAGATGAAATTAAATTAGACACTTTCTACAATTAAATGATAAAGACAATACAACCTACTGGAACTTATGGGACACAATGAAAGCAGTTGAAAGAGGGAAATTTATAGCAATGAATACCAGTATCTGGAAAACAGAGCAAAGAAATACCTTAATGATGAGCCTCAGAGAAACAGAGAAAATAAACACCTTAATGATGAGCCTCAAACTTGTAGAAAAATAAGAACAGCTCAGCCAAAAGCTCCTACAAGAGAGGAGCTATTCATGATAAACACCTATTCATGATAAAAACATCCAACACCTATTCATGATAAAAACTACAAAAAATTGGAATAGGTGTTCTTTAACTCAATCTAATAAAAGACATCTATGACAAACCAACAGCCAACATCATACTAAATGGACAAAAACACAAAGCTTTCACTGTAAAATCAGGAACAAGACAAGAATGTCCACTATCTCTACTCTTATTCAACACAATCCTGGAAAGTTTAGCCAGAGCAATTAGACAAGAGAAAGAAATAAAAGGAATAATACTAAGCAAGGAAGATGTTAAATTTTCACCATGTGCAGATGACATGATACTCTATATAAAATACCCCCCCAAAACTCTACTAAAAATTGCTAGATTTAATAAGCAAATTCAGTAGCACAGCTAAATACAAAGTCAACACTCAATAAGCAATAGCCTTCCTGTACAAAAATCAATAGCCTTCCTGTACATGAATAACAAATTCACTGAGAGAGAAATTAGGGAAATAACACCTTTCACAACAGCATCCAAAAAAAATGAAATACCTAGGAATTAATATAACAAAGGATGTAAAAGACCTCCTCATTGCAAACCACAGTACTCTGAAAAAGAACATTAAAGAGAAGGCCAGAAAATCCGGTGTGGTAGTGCATGCCTGTAATCCCAGCACTTGGGAGGCTGAAGTAGGAGGATCACTGTGAGTTCAAGGCCAGCCTGGGCCACATAAATGACTTCAGGGTCAGCCTGAACTGCATAGTGAGACCCTTTCTCAAAAAAGACCAGAAAAAAAAAAAAAAAAACCAACCAGGAAATTAAAAGATATTCCTTGCTGTTGGGTAGGAAGAACCAATGTAAATGGCCATACTTCTAAAACTGTTATACAGATTTAATGCAATTCACATAAAAATTCCAAAAGCATATCTCATAGAATTAGAGAAAACAATCCTAAAATTCATTTGGAGCCAGAAGAGACCTAAAATAGCAAAGGCAGTTCTGGGCAAAAAAGGCAAGACGGGGCGCATCACAATCCCTGATTTGAAATTACAGTGTAAAGCTACTCTGATAAAAACAGCATGGTATTGGTTTAAAAAAAAAGCCAGACCCAAAGATCAATGGAACAGATTAGAAGATGCAGAAACAACTCCAGACATGCTCACCCACCTTATCTTTGACAAAGGTGCCAAACACAGTGACTGGAAGAAAGACAGCCTCTTTAATAAATGGTGCTTGAAAAACTGGCTCTGTACATGCCAAAGATTAAAAACGAACCCATATCTTCCACCATGCACTAAAGTCAGAATGGATCAAAGATCTAAATATTAAAACAGAAACATTAAATCTGCTGGAAGATAGACTAGCTAAAACTCTTGAAGACCCTGGTGTAGGCAAAGACTTTATGAATAAAACACCAGTCACATAGGAACTATCACAAAGAATCAAGAACTGGGCCCTCATCTTATTAAAAAGCTTTGGCACGGCAACAGAAACCACCAACAGAGTGAAAAGACAGCCCACAATGTGGGAAACATGTTTGCCAGGTGTCCCTCAGACAAAGGTTACTATTGAGAGCATATAAAGAACTCAAAAAAATCAGACCTCTCAAATTTAAAGACCTAATCCAAAATTGGGCATCTTACGTTTTTTTTTTGTTTTGTTTTGTTTTGTTTTTGTTTTTGTTTTTCCAGTACCGGGAATCAAACTCACGACCTTGTGCTTGCCAGGCAGGTGCTGTGCCACTGAGCTAAATCCCCAGCCCCTAAAAATGGGCATCTTAGATGAATATACATTTCTCAAATGAAGAAAAATAAACAGCAAATAAATATATGGAAAAATGTTCAACATCACTGGTCATTCAAGAGATGCAAATTAAAACAACATTGAGATTCCTTCTCACCCTGGAAAGAACAGCTATCATCAAGAAATCAACCAATAACAAATGCTGGAGGGGTTTTGGGGAAAAAGGAACCCTTCTCCACTGTTGATGTAAGGATAGACTGGTGCAACCACTGTGGAAATTAGTGTGGAGATTCCTCAAAAAACTAGGATTGGAGGTCCCATCTGATCCAGCCACTCCTCTTCTGGGTATCTTTCCAGAAGAATTAAAAGCGTCATACCACAACAATACACGTGCACCCGTGTTTATAGCAATATAATTTGTAATAGCTAGATCTTGGAAACAACCCAAGTGCCCATCAACTGGTAAATGGATAAAAAAGATGTGTTTTTTTTTTTTTATACAATGGAGTACTACTCAGCCATAAGGAAGGATAAATTGGAGACTTTTTTTAAGTAAATGGATGCAACTCAAGACCATACTCTCAAGTAAAATAAAACAGACACACATGTGCAAACATTGTATTGTCTCCCTGGTATGAGAAGCTGAAAGAGTAAGATCCAAACTGTACAACAGATACTGTAAAATGGGAAGAAACTGTTCAAAAAGAAAGAGAAACTGGGATAGGGGAAAGGAGAAAAGAAGGAAGGGAAAAGCAAATAAAAATATATATATATATGATAGTTAAGATAGTTATACTAGTAATTTCTCTTAGTTCATTGAAAAAGGTTTGTGCTAATATTGTTTGAACAATTGAATGCCTATATCTTGTATTCTGAGTAAGTAATTTAAAGATCACAATACACAATGTATTAACCATTGCTACCCTCCTCTTATCTTGTTTTAAATTTTTGTTTTTTTTCTCTTTAAAATAAAAATTTTTTAAAAACTCATTGAGTTGTACACTTCAGATAGGCACATCTCACTATGTGTAAGTTTCACCTATCATAAAGAGCTGTGAAGGAATTAAAAAGAGAAAAGGCGAGAGTCCTTCACTTGAAGGGCTGGATTCTTGAGGTGGCCTGCGTTAGGCCTGAGAGTCCTGGGAGTCCTCTAAATATAACACCTGTGGGCCCAGCACAGAGTACTGGGAACACTGTCTCGGGCTCCCATAAGCATGTCTCCATCAACATCCTTCAAGGGGGGCTTAGCAGGCTTATTCTACTGAGGCGCTGTTCTTCCTGTGTTTGAACTGCCTGTCTTTGTAGCAATTTTCTGCATGTTTTTCCTTCTCAAACCCCAGATTCTAGTGTGCACTTGTCCCCCTTTTTTGCCCTTGGGGAAAAGGTGCTTTTCTGCAGTGTGTGAACACCATAGTTCAGAAGGGCAAGTAGTCCTCAAATATCCCCTATTAAACCATCTTCCCCCACGTTTTCCCTCACCACCCTGAATCAGCTGATGATAGGAAAGGTGCCAGCTTGCTTACTCAATCGTTAGAGAGGACTTGGGTTTGCTTGCAGTCCAGGTGAAGCGCTTCAGCAACGGGGAGGCCAACAGAGTGCTACCATCCAACTGATAATCCTGGTGAGAAAAAGGAGGGGGTTACGTGCTTGCCCGGCCCAAAGGGGCCTTGCTAAGTCCATGGGAAGACATTGGGATACACGCGGGAGGTCATTCCAGGCACTGGCCTCCCCCTCCACATGCCTGCCTGCAGACACAAAGCACTTTCTTCATCCTGGAGCTACAGACTTGGTCAGTTACAAGCAATGCCTAGCCTGGTGACTTTAAGGCTCTTCTTCCTGAAAGCTAAGTAAATTTAAACAGAGATACTTCAGGTAAGAGATTAGCACTTATAATAATAAACTTGTATACAAATTATTGCATAGATATGTTAGAACTAATTTTGGCAGGTGATGATTGGCTAATGGATATGTTGTCATTTGGTAGCCGGGATATATAAAAGTTCTGAGGCATTAAAAAGATGTGGTTCTTTTCTTTTTCTTAAGGATTCTATGGAATTCTCAGGTCCTTCTTGGTCATATTTTCCAGCAATTACATGTCTTCATTGAGTCACTTTTACCATTGAGTTTTAGACAAACGCATGATTATTCTGTAAACACAGTGTGTTCCCATAAGCGGATTTCATACTTTGTTCCTGCCTCTCTCGGAGGCTTTTACTGGGCTGGGCTCAGATCTTAATTATTAGCAAATGTCTTAGCAAATGAGAAAGCTGCCATAATTCATCAGTTTTAGCTTACTGTTAAGGCTGAGAAACCCTGTGTTTTACTCAATATTGTTTTCTTAGACTTGAACCAATGTACCAAACAGCAAAACCAAATTTCTACTTTATCTCTGTACTCTGCGGCTTAAAATGTAAATGTATTTAAATTATCCTGTGCCTCTGTCTGGTGTGTCTGTGTCTGTGAGAAGGTTCTGGTGGTTTTTAAAGTTGACTGTGCTTGTTTCAAGGCTACAACGATTGTAGTGATCACCTTTACATTACAGTTAGTCCTCTGGGTCACTTCCGGGACATAGGCATCACCAGCACTTCTCCAAGTTTAAGGAAGTACACAGATTCCCCAGGGCATCTGTGACAAGCTGGTAACTGACTTGCTGGGGATGGGGGTCCTGAGGGCCAGTGTTTCTGGCCTGCTTCTGCACCGTGGTACCATACTTGTCTGGAAATGACGTTTTGAGTCCAGAGTCTGCCATGCCTAAAGTGATTTCCTGCCCAGTCTCTCTCTCCTCCCATTATTCTTTCAACCCCATGTTTAAAGCTTTAAAGAGGGCTGGGGATATAGCTCAGAGGCACAAGTGCCTGCCTGGCAAGTGCAAGGTCCTGAGTTTGATTCCCAGTACAAAAAAAAAAAAAGCTTTAAAGAGAAGAGCAGGTGGACGGCTCACGTGTGCCAGGCTGTGCTAGTTTCCTTCTTCTATTGTGTCTGAGCAAGAACACAGCTGTTCGGCCTGCAGAACTTCAAGGGGAAAGGGCCTAGGACCTAGGCGGACTTGTGACTCCTGCACCACAAGGCCTGTTATACCAAGAGGCTATCCATTCACACTAGCAGTTCTTCTACCACTTGGGAAGCAAGGATGCATCACTGAGAGCCAAGAAGCTCAAACTACACAATGAAGTTTCCTAAACTGAATTCCCACAGGCAAGGATTTAGCCCCTGGAGTAATTCTGGGCAGTCTTCAAACAGTGGAATTCTGCTTTCCAATGACCTTTCCATAGCTAAGTCTGGCTGTCAGTCCCCTTGACATTGTCACACTGACTAATGACCCTGACTGACCAAAAGCTACCAAACTGGAGCTGGGGTCTGGAGTCAGGCAGAACATTCTAGCAGGGTGTGCTGAGTAGGCTAATGTCATGACTTACATCAAACATGGAGGTGGTATTTGGTGAAAGTTCTTCAAAAGTTTTGATTCTTTCCAGGCTCATGAATTTGAAAGCATTTACATATCTAATGAAGAAGCAAAAAGAATAATCAAAACAGGAAAACAGATGTAGCTTTGATTAATTAGGAGACCAGAGACACATGGGAGCTGCAGAATACACAGTATCCTGGGCTAAAATGAACCAAAATATCAGTTGTTCCTGTGGCTCATATTTTCCATCGTGCCCCAGGGAATCCTCACAGTGATCCACTTCCTCACATGGTGTCAATTCACAGTCTATGGATTTTAGCACTCACCACCCCCTGAAAACATCCACTCGGGGCCAATTTGAGATCAGAAAATGCTGGGCCTACAAGAGACCTGACGCATGATCTGGCCTGAATACTTTATGATACAAAGGAGAGAAATGCTGCTTGCACAATGCTATGAATTTATCACTTAGCGCTGTCTACTTCCTGAAAGGGTGCATGGTGGCAAAATGATCTGTCAAGGCTGCACACGCGGCTTAAGTGCATGATTGAATGCTGGTGTATGCTGTCCTGTGAATGTAGCTTGGGAGAAACAGGTAAAGCTGCGTATTTTCTCTATTACCATCCGCTGATCTGTGTTGATGACCTATCAGGAAAGACCATCAGGACTAGCCACTAGCTAATCACTCACAGGCAAGGCCACTCATGGACTGAATTCCTCAGTCTGATATTCTCTTGCCCTCTACAAGGCTCGACCTCTTAGGTGAGCTCCTCAGTGGGCCCAAAGCTTAGCAACGCTGGGAAAGGTCCAAATCACTTTGCCATTCTGAACCAAAGTAATGCAGGCGTGCTGACTCTCCCAGCGCCCCTTTCAGGGCTTCAGTCTGTCCTGTGGGCCTTCGGCTTCTGTATCAGCAGCCCTTAGGTCTTGACCTCAGTTCTGCCACCAAGGCACAGGGAACAGTTGCAACAGTCACTGTACGTGGATAGCTGTCCCTCAGCTCTGACTCACTCAGGGCGTGCTCAGGTATTTACCCCAAGGGAGCTTTCTCATCTTTGAAAATGGATGAGTCATCTGCTTCGGCCTCCTGGGCTGGTTGGGAGGGCTGAGCAGGGACACTGACCTGTAGTCCATCACAGGTCTGGGCTGACTGCTGGATTTCTTCAAAGCCTGTCATGGACAGCTATCCACGTACCCTGACTGTTACTGCTGTTCCCTGCGCCTTGGCGGCAGAACGGAGGTTAAGGTGCAATAAGGAAGCTGTGAGGCCCACGGGACAGTCTGATATCCTGAAAGGGGCGCTGGGACAGTCAGCACTCCTGGGCTAGAAACTCCTCTGCCATTTTCTGGCTACACAGTTTTGGTGAGTTGTGCTCTTTGGAGGCCAGTATCTGCATTTTCTTAACAGAAGTAATATGCACTCCATAGGATTGTTCTGAGCAGAAAACCAGTTGAGATATGCAGGCAGCCTAGTACAGTGCCAGGCCACGGCACATGTCTGTGTAATATGAAGACTGAACATGTCTAACACGTGTAACTGTGAACACCGAAGTGCAGATCCCTAGCTGTTTGAGGTTCTCAATATTTCTTCCTTTGCTGGTCTCCAATTTGCTTTGTGATGATGGAAGATAGGTTAGTTTGTGAGGCGGGCAGTTGTGTTTGTTTGCTTAGCTTTATCTAAGGTTTAGTCAAAAAGTTAATGTTAAGGGGAGAGACGGAGAATACTTTTGGAAGAAGACTAAAGCTTAAGAAGATGTGTTGTTCTTGATTGGATTCTGCTTCTTAAAAAAGAAATGTATAAAATACATTAGGGGGAAGTTATGAAAATTTGAATATGAGATGATAGTAAGAACTATTTCTTTGATGTGATAGTTTTTGGTGTGGTTACACAGGAAAATGGACTCCTTATGAGGTACATACCAAAGTTTTTCGAGGAAAATTGTTAGACTTCTGTAAGCCGTCTTTAAAATGGTTCAGAAAAAGAAAAACTACCCCCCACAAAAATATGGAATATACAAAATGTTAATAATTGTTGAACTTAGGAGGTCGGCATATGGGTGATTATTGCCCAATTCTGTTTTCCTTTTCTCTTTTTCCTCTTTCTTCTCTCTCTCTCTCTCTCTCGTATGGGCTGTGTTTCTATTAACAATCTGTAATAGAAAGATGGGAAAAGAAATCTTACCTGACATCATCAGAGCTTCCAGAATTAAACTTTGGAGCTGAAATACCATCCTTGAAAAAGTCCTCAGAGAAGGCAGGAGTTGAGTATGCAAACCCGCTATTTCCTGTCAGTATAGCATTCAACGGGATGTAGTCTTTACCGTCCTAAAATACCAAAGACAGAGATCTAATTACACAGATTTCTACTTCAATTTCTGTGGAGCATTGTATCAGCTTCAACTGTCATTTGCCTAACTTGCTTGTGTTCTGTGAAGGTAATTCTGCACATACACACACTTTTGATTGGTGATCTTACCTACTAGTAGCTCAGAAACAACTAACAAACCCCCCTTGACTTACATTCAAAGGCATGTGGCCTTCTGGTATCCTAGGTAATTTTAGTTTTACCTGTTGTACATTGGCTTGAAGCAAATCGCCCAGTTTTTCCACAAGTTCTGCAAATCGTGGTCTTTCCTTTGGGTCTTTGTGCCAGCAGTCCAGCATGATCTGATAGCTGTTGGGAAGAAGCACATAGAAAGAGCTGGGGACTGGTAGTATTAATAGAGACTGCCCTTGAGAATAAGGGTGTCAGCTTGCATGTGCAGATCCTGCTTTGGTCACGGCTTCAGTTTTAGGTTTGGGTCTGTATCACCAACACAGAAGGGGCTGTTTGGGCCAAATTCTGCCAGTCATGAGAAACACAGGTGCCTCAAGGCGCACTAACAACAAACCTCTCCGGAGCTCACAGATTCAAGACCTTTGGGTGCCTGTAGCCTGTGCAGAGTGGAAGGATTGAGTCCTATGGTCAAGCAGAGGTGCTTGGAAAGGAAATGCCATGGTCTGCTGCTGTTAGATATGAAATGGAACATTATTCCGCTCCCTGTCAAAGCAGAAGAGTGTCCTCAAAGTTAACAGCAGTCCAAACAGCAATGGGTACAGAGTTTGCAGGACTCATGTCATCCTTGGTTGTCACAAAGGCTGGCTTGAGCTGGCTTCTCAATGAGTTCATGGTATTTCCAAGACCTCACAGGTCCCTGGTTAGGCTCTGCAATTAAGACTGGCGGAGAGGGCCCTGGGTACCTGACCCGCGTCACTGCCCCAAGGTGAGGTCTACACAGGTAGACTTCTGTAGTTCCTTCTCCTCTGTGCTAGGTTGCTGTGGGTGGCTGGTTGTTTTTCACTCAGCATTTTAAAACTCCTATTACAGACTGTCCTCTGACCACTGAGGCAAAAGGAGAGGCTGGGCTTCTGGATTTGAAACATCTGTCTTAATATCACAGAGGCCAAATCTTGTTCTGGGGTTCCAACATCAGCAGGTTCCTCTGTGGTTCTTCTTGTTATGGTTTGTATCTAGATGTCCCCCCAAAGCCTCATACAGTCATGGGGGAGCTGTTCAGAGGTGGCTGGATCTAAAATTTGTGGTGCTGGGATCAAGGGTGTGTGATTACAAAATCAGTCCGCTGATTAGTCTGACAGGGTGTTACACTGCCTTAGGGCGAGTAGCCTGAGTAAAATACAAGGCTAATACAAAGAGAGGGCTAAGGTGCTCTCCATGCCTGCTTGCCGTGAACTATTTCTTCTCTGCCAGGCCCCTCTGCCACACTGCCCTTCCTTGGAGCCAGCCAACTGTGGACTGAAACCTCTACACACTGTGAGCTAAATAAACCTTTCCTCCTTTAACTTTGTGTGTTGGGTATTTTGTCTCAGCAAATAGCAAAGTAACTAAGACACTTCTCTTATGCTTTAAAAGGTACTGGGGTCCCTTCTTAGTCATGTCTGCTCAGAGTAGAGGTCTATATCTACCCCTTTTTCTACAAAAACATGTCAGAGGTCTACCTATAGTGGATTATGGATTCATTCCTTTTGGGCTCTTTGTGCTGTTCATGGAATATCAATTGTACATGTCTCTTTTGGATCTTCTGAAGAGGACCCTGACTGGAAACAGATCAAAATATGAATGGCCTAGGACACTGGAACTGGGTCAGAAGCAGCCTGTAATCACTAAGTGGCCTGGAACCTCATCTCCACTCCCCTCACCCAGTGTAGGATCTGGCATGCGAGGACTCAAAATATCTGCTGACAGAAGTCAGACTGGTCTCTGGCAAGAGAGCTCAGCTCCTTCCTGAATTCTTCAGCACTGCAGATGTTCTTGTGTACAGGGAGCTGGGTGAGGTTAGCGAAAGCCCTGAGCAGCTGTAGTTCACATCCTACTCCTGCTGCAGCTGTGAGATGTGTGCCTTCATGTCACATGAATGGCTCCTGGTAGCCCTATTTTATTTCAACACATATGAGGAGGCTGACAAAGATGGTAAGAATACAGAAGGTTTAGGAAGAGAAGAAAATAGCTGGAGGAAGGTAAAATAAAGACAAGAACTAGGTGAAGCTATGGGCAAAGTTAACATGAAACATTTATAGCAGGATTTTGAGGATGTTCATGGGGCCAGCTCTATGCTTACAGGCAGCTGGTGAAAAGAAGGAGGAATCAATTTTATGATTTGTACAAGCCAGGAGTTGGAAACCACCAGTTACTTGGCAGAAATACCACTGCTATCGCTAGAATCTAACAGGAGGTCCTCGTAGATGTCTCAGCAACACTGTCACCAATCAGGCAGTCATGACTTCATCAGCCTGTTTTGTACCTTGCTTTTCAATGTTGGCCAAAGCCTTCACAGCAAAAAAAATGTCATTCAGTGACAATAATTCTGAGAGGCAAAGTAACATGTTCCAGGTGAGTTTGTCCCAAGGTCCTGGTACAACCAAGGATACAACTCTAGATACCCAGGCACTTACAGGCACCGTGCGGTCTTTGGACCACAGACCATGTCAGACCATGGCTCTAGTCTTTAGGAGAAAGCTTTCTGGTAGCATCCGGGCTTTACTTTCTGACAAGCACCTGGAAAACATATGCCCTCAGGCTTTGATTAAGGAACAGGAGCTTGTAGGGATCACACAAAGGTACGAGATCTGCAATTCCGAGAGCTGACCCTCATGACTCCTTTCCTTAATCCCGGTTCAAACCTGTGGGCTAAGACTCTTCTCAGAAGATGATTTGGGCTTCCCTGTACCTGTTTCCCTCAACTCCCAGAGACTGTGGTGGACATCAACTGGTTCTAAGAGCTGTGAGGGCCCTTTGCAGAGGGTGACACTTGGGCCACTGTCACCACTGCACTGGGACAGTTTACAGAAACTGAAGATACCAGGGAGGGGCGGGCGAACGCTGACGCACTAACTCTGGGCTTCTGTCCCTGCTTTCTGTTGGTTTTTGGTTTTTTTCCGGTACCGGGAACCGAACTCATGACCTTGCGCTTGCCAGGCAGGCGCTTTGCCGCTGAGCTAAATCCCCAGCCCCTGTCCCTGCTTTCTGAGAAGACAGAGGACAGGTGTTTCAGCACCCAAGCTCCCAACTGCCCCTGACCAGTAGTACCTCTGAGTAAGACCTCAAGGCGCCTAGGACCAGCCATCAGCCTCTAGCGGCCGGCCTTCTAGCAGCCAGTGGGCAGAAATAGCAGCGACCTACATAGTCTGCGTGATCCAATAGCGATCTCATTTTAAGGTACGTTTACATGTTTTCCTAATTCACTGCAGGTGCCAAATTATATACTCCAGAGACAAGTGGTCACCAGAGAAAAATCTGAGGGGCCTCCACCCAAGGTGCGCTGGCCGTACAGACTGGCCTGCTTCTGCCTTACCACACACACAAGCCTCGGTCCCCAAGGCTCACATCTCTAGCAATAGACAAGTGCCCGGAGGCAGGTGGAAGAACGTTAAATACAGGCCTAGATAATCTAAAAACAGTAGCAGAAGAGCTGCACCTGGAGCTCAGTGGTAGAGTGCTTGCCTAGGATGAGCAAAGCCCTGGGTTCCATCCCCAGCACTAAAAAATTAAAGGAAAAGGGTAGTAAAAGCAAGGAAGGTTTGAACTGGTGAACAAAAAGGGGCCTGTGCCTGGGGAGCAGGGAGCAGCTTCCCTTCAACAGGGGCCCCAGGCTCAGTTCCACCAGCAGTAGCACCTCACGGGAAACAGGGGCGAGCCGCTATTTGGGGGGATGCTGCCCGGTTCCTCTGATGAAGCTGGCAACACCTACAACTACCTGCTCTTTCCTAGTTTCATCTGTGGTTTCTGATTTCTAGATTCCACTCTTCTGGGCTCCAGTTCAAGAGAATCATCTTAGCAAACATTCACTGCTGTTTCACTTTTGGAAAGGCACCTGATTAAACAGGTTCTGGGCAAGGGACCAACGACTCGCCTCAATGTTACACAGTTTTCACCACTGAACAGGTTTAATAAAGGAAAGGGACACCAGTTGCACCCAAGCTGGGGTGAGGGGCCCGTGGGAAGAGTTTCCTTTCGAGCTATCACCCAAATTCCCAAGCGCGCACCACTTTAGGACAAGGTCAGGTCACGCACTCCCAGTTCTGAGAGGCTGCACTTTGTCCTCGCAGGACCTTCCCACTGATGAGCAACAAGGAGATCACTTCCTCAGCCCTCAGAGCCAGCGTGAAGGGCTGAAGGCTTGAAGCCTGGCCTGCGGAGGAAAACTTCCACAACATTTCGAAAATAAACTTCTCCACAGTTGAGGATCCACACCTCTGTCAACTCACCACTCGAGTGAGGCTCAGGGGCCGCCCAGGGGAGGTCTGTGCAAAGCCCCGAGTGTTTGTTAAAATCCAGGGCAGTCTTCAGTCCAAAGCCAGGTGGCTCCGTCCTGCTAGAGTTGTTTTACAGCAGAACCTGGCTGAGGACTGCAGAGGCCCCTGCAGATGTGTACGAGGGTGGCGGAGATCCCGGACTCAGACTGAGTTCGCAGAACTGCGCAGCAAGTGGCCTGGGCCAACTCACTGAAGTGTCTCTGTTCTCATCTGTGAAACAGAGCTAATGACAGCACCTACTGTACAGTGTTGTGAGCATCAGGTAAATTAACACACGTGAAATAGGCACTAAACAACCGCTTAGTTAAGAAATATATGTGGTAATTGCAGTTGTCATCGCTGTCGCTAATTGACAACTTAGTCATGATTTTCAGATTATATGAAAACTATAAGGACATATGCGTGGGTAGTGGAGAACCGTATCTTTTGGGGGATGTGGGGTAGAACCCTAACTTCACCACCTCTGTGGACTCGGGGGATCAGCCTGGGGGACTGGGCTGCAGATTGTCTCTTTTGCTTTGCTGCCGGGAGCTTTGTTTCCGAGAGTCCCAGTTTCCATACTTGTCCCATTCAGATTACAGCACTGCGCTGCACCGCACTCCTCCTCCTCAAGGCCGTGGGACTGTCACGCGAGACCACGTGGGGAAAACATTTAGAGAACCATAAAGCGCAAAGCTATCTCACTTCAAACCAAGTTCTTGGTGTTGTCCCTCTCTTCAAGTTGAAGGAATCAAGCGAGTAAACAGCCCCCAGGCCTGTAGCCCTCTGCAGCCCAAAGGGAGTGCTGGGACTTACTCTGCTGTCAGAAAGAAGCCAGGACACAAGCTCCCTGTGCTTTCCTGAAGAGGACCCCGTGCAAGACGGACAAGAACACCCCCCTGCCTGCTCCCACACACAGGCCCTGCCTCCGTGCCTGAGTCCTCTGTCCCCTCATCCAGCTACCCACCCGGATCTGACCTAGCTTTGTCTTGAGATGCTGAAGGAAAGAGATTGTGACCTCTGGCCGAGCCCACACTTCCTTCACTGCCCCTGGCTCCTCCCCAAAGGCCATCCCCGGCTCCAAGGACCCCATTGTGTGGTGGGATGGGGAGGGCTGCCCGCCAGCTCAGGAAAGGTGGTGCCGCCTCAGGAGGCCCAAGTCCTTGTCAGCAGCTCGGCAGAACTGCAAGTGTCATCACATTCCTGCCCAAGCCTCAAAGCGCAGAGCATGCACGAAGCCTCAGGAAGAGAGTGCCCAAAGGCAGTGAGCAAGTACAACTCGGCCACAGAGGAGCCCGGCGTCCTCCCAGAACCACGTGGCATAGCAGGGAGGCACCTGAAGAAGTCCTCTGATTCGGGCGTTTCCAGAGATCGGCTGGGCCTATTTCTAAAGGAGTCTAAGGAGGTACTGCTCGTGTAATCGTCTGTGGAGTATGATCACAGCTCCAGTCAGGAAGGCCCGCATGCCCTGCCTTCATCTCCTTCCCTGCAGTGCACACCAAGCCCGGGTAGCATGGCTGGAGCACTGTCCATAGCACTGAGAGACCTCAGCCCTGGGGTGGCTTAGCTCACAGGTTCCCCCTTGAGGAATGAGGCCAAGATCTTACATCCAGTGCCTAGCTGGTCTATTCACTGTGCTAGGATTTAGCCCTAGAAACTGAATTTCTAACTCCAGTTCTCCGCAGAGGCCTTGAAAAGTCATGTCAGTGATCAGCAGAGGAAACAGGTAGGGGCGGGGGTGATCATCCTCACTCCAGGAGAACACTCCCAGCACAGCTGGGCCCAACGAGCTGAGAGCTGAGTCCCTGGAGAAAGGAGCTACCTGCATCTTTCAAGACTGGGGTTCTCAAGTCAACCAAGCCACCCCGGGAGGCTCGCTGGAGGGTGAGCAGGGAGGGGTGCGGGCTCACATTTCAGAGGTTGCGTACTCAGGGGCCCTCATCCTCATGCCTTCCTTCAGACGACTGCAGAAGTCCTCGTCCATCTGCACTCCGGGGTATGGAGACCCGCCTGTGGGGGAGAGTTTGGGAAAACACGGGCACGTTATGGTTTCAGGGCGCCAAAGACTGTGTGGGCACAGTTCCGTGCTGGTTTCCTCCCTTCAAAGCAATACTTTAGTAATAAATCCCCAGTAACCAAATGGGACCTCAAAGTAGGTACAACACGCAGAAGAGCTCAGTGAATCTTGCTAGGGACGCACACTTGGATGGCCGGTCCTGCGGTGTTGGGTCTCTAACCATCAAAGGCCACTCCTAAATCTGACTGGTCAGGGAAAGGGGCAATCTAAAGGATCCCCACTTTGTCCCTTAAAGGAGCTCTAAAGAAATCCCATCGTTAGAGATTCATTGTTTGGATTAATGATCTCTTTTTGAAAAGCAGGTGGAAGCTGTCCATGGTGGTACCCGTCTAGAATCCCAGCACTCTAGGAGGCTGAGGGAGGAGGATCCAGAGATTAGTCTAACCTGAGCAATTTAATGAGATTCTGTTTCAAAGGCAAAAAAGTGGGGGAGAGGCTGGGGATGTAGCTCAGGGGTAGAATGCCCATGGGCTAGAGCCCCCAGTACTGCACTGCAAAAACTAAAATGAAAGATAAAACAAAGCCACAGGGCTGCGGCTAGGCTACTTGTGGAGCCCTCGTACCTCAGTGAGGATGATTTCAATTCTTGCAGCACTGCGGGCTAGTAATTATGACTTCCTAAGGGAAGGGGGGACTTGGGCTCCATCCAGGACAAAGTTGAAGGTGAGGGGTGGCAGCTGCCTGTGTGAAGGAGGCCAGAGAGCCCAGACTTTGCCCTTTGCCAGCCTGATGAGCTCAGACCCCCTACTGCCTAATCCCTTCAGGGGCATCTCTGACTGGAAGGGCGCAGGCCTCCCAGACTACTGTGTTTCAGCGCGCATACCTACGAGTCTCTGCTCGTGCTTGTCTGCACTTTCTAGTGACTGCCGTGGGTAGGAAACAGCTGGGAGATGCTCATGCTGGCACTGGACTATTGTAGGGCCACTGTGGCCGCCAAGCTGCTTTCAAAGACTGGAAGCAACAGGTGTCTGTCATCAAAAGCAGGGGAATGATTTTTACACATTACAGGAAACCAGGGATGTTACTAGGTGACTTTTACTTACTGTAAAAGTCAAGTTTTTGGCAAAGCCCAGCAGATTCTTGGCGAGCACACACGTTTGGGAGGCCTCACATTGTCACTGTGTCTGTGAGCAGATGTGGTCTGCTCTGAGCGTGGGGCCCTCAGCAAGGCTCCTAGAAACCCGCAGTGGACAGTGCTGCAGGCGGGATCAACACAAACCGGTATTCCTTACGGTTCACCCGCACAGACCAGTGTGTGGGGCTTTAGGATGTGCTGTTATCCTGGGCGGACATTTACCCCTGCGATGTCTGATCTCTCCCCTCGCCCAAATTTACCTAGGGAGAAGATTTCCCACAGCAACACTCCATAGGACCACACGTCGCTCTTGGTGCTGTAGATTTTGTCAAAGATGGATTCCGGGGCCATCCACTTCAGCGGGAGGCGGGTCTATAAGAGGGCAAGGGTGCTTTGAACAGGAAGGAATGAAAACAAAGCACACCCGACCGCAGTGCCATGGGTCTCCCGTCACAGGACACACGGCCCAGAGTGGGTTCCTAGAGCAGCCATGGTTTCCTAACCCCTACGGCTAAAGGAGGGCACTGCGTGCCACACTGACCCTCTGGTGGCGATGCGTGAATCGGATGCTCCTCCAGGGTCCCCAGCGCATCCTAACTCCATAGTCAGAAAGAAGCCTTCCCTTCAGAGAAGCCTAAATTCCACAGGAACACTGAGGGCCTGGGAGAGACCTGAGTTAGGAGACACCTGAGAATTGGTGGCAACCTCACAGGGTTTTTCCTAAGGAGAATTTTGAAAGACATTCCTCTGCAAAGAGACAGGATTTTAAGTCACGGACGGGCAGAAGCGGGTGTAACTTCCTGGGAGAACACATGCCTAGCACACAAGGCCCTGGGTGCCTTCTCCAGTAACCCCACCCGCACCCGTTCATTGACTAGGGCAGGCAAAGGCATTGGAACGGACCAAGGTGATTCAGCACTCGAGCATGTGGAGTATACGGTACTTAGGAGAATACAGGGTTGGTTTTCAAGCACACAGACAAACTGTGCTTCTCTTCCAGATAGCAGGACTCTCAGCGAGTTTGCCGGGGATTTAGGATAGGGACTGGCTGGAAATGTGGGAGAACGCAGAGACCAAAGGGGAAGAAAGAAGCGGGTGAGGCAAGGAATAGATGAGACACAAATGGACAGAGGAGAGGCAGGCTGGACAGGGAGATGCCGTCAGTGGGAGCCGGGGCTCCCGGGGAAGTTCTGGCTTTTTTAAAAAACTTTTATCAAAAACAACTACGGAATGGTGGTTCTCAAAGTATGGTCTGGGCAGCTGTGTCGGCACTGCCTAGAAACTGTTCCAAATGCAGACTCTGGGGTCTCAGCCAAGACTCACGGAATCAAGGAGGCTGAGGGTGGGGCCAGCAGACTGCAGTCCAGCAAGGCTTCTAGGCAATGCGCAGGCAAGTTTAAGAATCAGTGCCGTGGAACAATCCTCAGACCCCAGATACAAATGGACACCTCAGGGTAGAGGCCAGAGAAGAGAGGACACAGGAAGTCACTCACCGAGTGACAAATAACACTGTGTTCAAAAACAAAATGGGGAAGAGAGGCCAGCGTGAGGCAGCGGGGAGATGCGAGAAAGGAAGGCGCACACAGAGGTAAGCGATTTCCTCCTCAGCAAGATAGTCCCCTTCCTTCCCCACCCTTTCCGGAGGTACATGCACCTGCTCAATCAATCATCCGGGTTTATTTGAGGGACAGAGTTCGGCCTGTTCATTTCAGTAGTACAAGAACTCCACCCGAGTCCAAGATGGGATGACATGGTCTCACCAGGCCCCAACAAATGGTCTCAGGCTAGCAAGTCACAGACACCAGTGCCTGAAGGACAGCTATCAGGCTGGGGGCTTACAGAAAAACATCCAGAAGGCATTGTCCTTTCTGAGCCTCCTGTGAGGGCCCGCCACTAGAAACTCATCCCGATTGCTTGTCTTCACGTCACAGTTTTCAGGGACTACTGCCAACGAAGTGTAAATATTTACCAAGGGTTTTTGGCTATGGCTTAAAATGATAGGGCACAAATGAGTCAAATAAATATCAAGGTGACTTACATCTCCTTTTCTCACATAATCGGGGTTTTTATAAATATCCCGGGCCAGGCCAAAATCACAAATCTTCACCACATTGTTCTCGGATAAAAGGATGTTCCGTGCTGCCAGGTCTCGGTGAATGCACTATAATAAAACAGTTGCATAATCAACGCACTTCCTAACCGAACCAGCTAATTTCCTGCGCCTGCTTGGTGTCTTATTCTTAATTTGAGGGTCTATTTCACATGCAGTGAAGGAAGTGACTCCTACTGAGCAAGGAGTTACCATAAACACGAAGCACTTCTTTACGAATATGGGTCCCTTGAGGCTCCAAAGTTAAGAAATGCTCTGAATCCGCTGGCTATTGTTCTACAAATGGCATCCTGGTCAACCGGATTGGCAGTCTGAGTTTCACCACAGAGCAAAACTTCCCATGGTGTTCTGAGGGGCGGATATCAGGTCTCTGGACAGCCGGGGTTTGGTGGGAGGGTTCCACAGGCATGTACTGACCGGTCTCCTGTAAAGGCACGTCCTCTAAGATTCTGCACAGTTTTAAAACTGGGCACTGTGGAAAACGGTTGCCAGATTTGCCCAGTCCAAACCTGGTGAGATTCTCCCCTAGAATTAAGTCCTACTCTCTAGTACCCTGGGCTCCTCATTCACAAAGCTCTTCATACTTGGGCAATTTAAGGTACTTGTGGTGATGTTTTATTCTACATTTAAAAACATGGGTATATCCAACTACTAGGACAAGTGGATTTACAGCAGAAGAGTAGGTCTGACACAGCAAAGAAGAAAAACAGCAGAGGAAAGTATTCTGAAAGTTTTTACCATAAAAAAATGATAAATATTTTAGGAAATGAATAAGTATAACCTCATTTAAACACTATGCAATGTATACATGTATGGGAACATAGTCCATAACATGTACAAATTTTATTTCAATATATTAGTTAAAAATAAATGTTAAAAATATATAAAACAAAAAATTTTTTAAAACCTCTCCTTATCCCTAATATTTTTTTAAAAGAAGAAAAATAGTAAAGAGATAAGCTGACCTTTCTGGAGGACAAAAACTCCATGCCTCGGGCTACTTGAAAACTGTAAGAAATTAGATCTTCCATGGTGATGGGCTGCTTGTAGAAATCATCAGAATCTGCAAAGCATTAGAGTTGTAACTGTTTGTAATGGCCCTTGTTATTCCACCAAATCCCAGTTTATTGGAACAATGTTAGCAAAACATAAAACAAACCAAGAAGTGGATCAGAATTCATCTGCAAGAGCACTGGAGTTTCAAAATCCAGCAGCAGAGAGCCCAGCCCATCGGACCCAAGCATGACGGGGGCTGGGGAACCTCTTAGGACAAAAAGGCCCAAGGGGAGGCAATCCACAGTTCCCCGTCAAAATTAGTAACTCTGTAAATAATCTTAATTCAAATCTTATCTCCTCAGGACATTACTCTTCGAGTCTCCTACGGATGTTTATTAGGGTGATAAATAAGAAAAAAATGTCTGAGATGCACGGTGCATTGTAAAAATATCCCAGACTGTAGGACAGGAAGGAATTAATACCTACCCTCCTCTTCCTCCACATCACTCAGACTTTTATCTTCCTGAAACCCAGAGCTGGCGAAGCTCTCGCTGCTGGTGACACTGTCTAGCCTGGGTTTCTTGTCCTGTTCCAGGCCCGGCTCGGGATTTTCTTTCTTAGGCTCCGTGTGTAATGCCGCATCCTTAGAACAGACCGAGGGGGACATGGATGAAAGGGCGCCTGGCACGGGAATGGAGACCCCGGTCCCTGAGCGGGCAATCACCTGACTTGGAGGGTGTCGTTACACAAAACAGATACCGAATTAGCAGCAAGGCAGCACACCACCTGGCTACTTCTGGGGTTGTGCAGACTTCACCACACTTGTGTGGGCTTCTGGACATCATCTTGGGTCAGACAGAAGATGAACAGTAGTGGTGACCACTGAATGCTAACTGTAATCTCCCAACAGTTCTATGAAGTGGTTCTTAAACATGGGGAAAAGGGTTCCAAGACAGAATGTAAGCAGTCCAAGTCAGACGCAGAGAGTAAATGGCAGAGCCTGAGCCCAGATCTGGCCAACTCCTGTTTGTGTTCTTCATGCCTCTCTATCACATATGCCACCTCGTGAAAGATGACGTGAACCTTAATGTTCACGTCCTCACTCAGATGATGTGAAAGAGATCCCAAGCGCAACTGGGGCTCCATTTTGTTGTGGTCCCTGCGGGAGGTTCCAAGAGAAGGCTACAGTTACTGATTTCTCTGGTCTCTTTGGAGAAGGCGGGAACCACAAATTTCTTTTGTTTTCCTCTTCCCCTCAAAACTGATGCAGGTTGGTCAAGGCCTTCCATTCTGAACTGGGCAGCCACATTTTGGTATATATTCTGGGTCTTCCATTGATGAAGCAATCGTAAACAAATCACCTTACTTTTCTGGGTTTCATTTTCCTCATCTGAAAACCTCTGTCCCAGTTTACAACTCGTAGCAAAAGGGATAGGCTCTGGCTGTTCGCGTAGCGTGAGAAAAGATTTTTACTGCATTTGGTTATTTGTCTGGTAAATGAGATCCTAGCAACTTGGCACATCCAGTGGCTTTAGGACTGGATCACACACCCGGCCTCGGCTGTGCTGGAGGCAGTTCTGACACAGGGGCTGAGAGCGCACAGCGGAGCCCCTTGTCCTCCTGCGCACCAGCAGTGTTAGCCTTAGTCAGCCTCCTCGTCTTCCCTTGGTTTTTCTAGAAATGCCACAAAGCAGAGTGATCCCTCCACCAGAGGGCACAGTAGGAGCAAGCAGAGGGTAGAGTGGAAGCCTCCGGAGAGAAAGCCCTAACAGACCCAGAGAGAGCCACGTTCCTGCCCTGAAAGAGACCTCGCAGTGTGGCAGCAGGGAGGCAGGCCTTGGAGTGAACATCCGCCGTCCGCTGAACTTGCCATCCTGCAGGGCCCGTGGGGTATTCTGTTGCCTTAGCTCTTCCTAGGTACGTTCCTGGTTTCACACTGCCGGTCTGTTCAACCAAGATACTGGTGTCTCCAGTTAAATGAAACATTAGGGGATGTGATAATGGGCCAGCTGTCCAGCAGCTCTTTTTTTTTTTTTTTTGTCTTGGAGACACGTCTCCCTGTGTTGCCCAGACTGGTCTTGAACTCCTGGACTCAAAAAATGCCCCCATCTCAGTCTCCCGACTAGGCAGGACTGCAAGCATGTGTCACTACACCTGGGTATGTCCAGTAGTTCTTGTGTGTGTGTGAAGACTTTTGCCAGTGTGACAGAGATGGACATCATCCTTTGATGTCTGAAATTTCATCCCCTCTACAGAGCAGTGGCAGTGAGTTGAAGTCAACCAATCTTTTCCTTCCCCCGGCCCCAGCCGTACTGGAGATGCAACCCAAAGCCTCACACATGCAGGGAAGCTCACTACCACCTGGCTACATCCCCAGCCCACACCCAATCTTCCTATCTCACCGAGTCAGTGATGATGCTGATGATTACCTTTACTGAGCGCTTCACTGAGAGATTTTCAACCTTCCAACAGTCCCATCAGCTGGGCTCTATTATTAGCTCTGTTTAAGACCTGAAATAACTAAGACCTAGAGATTAACTTGCCTAAGATGCCAGATTTTGTAAGAGGAAGACACAGGATTTAAATCTAGGAACTCTGATTCTGAAGTCAGAGGGCTTAACCTCTGTATTAGAGATTTTCATCACTATTATTGCTGATTACTTGCTAATAATGTTAAATCATTGCCTCCTGGATTTCTACTCAGAGAAGAACACAGCATTCGTGCCACATGTCACATTGCAAAGTATCAATTGTTTGCCCTCAGATCTTGGACACAGGTGTTTTGCATTTTGTTTTTGCTGGTGCTAGGAATAGAATTTAGGGTTTTCACATGCTAGGCAAGCGCTCTACCAATAAGCTGCATCCTCAACCCCCTAGGTGTTCATTTTGTTTCATAGCTTTTACTTAGCGGATAAGACTAATTTAGAGTCAGTTAAGGATGACACAGGTGTGGAGGGTGTGGAGCGGGAGAAAGGGCAGTCAGAAGTGAACAAAATCATTTCCAGCTCTGGCCCCACCACTGCTGACTGTACAAACAGATCATTCAGTTTACTGTGTCCTTAATTTCCCTAATAAATGAAGACAACTGTATCTGGCAACATCTTTCTTGAAACAAGTGACTCAGAGAGAGACTGACAGAGACAGAGAGAGAGAGGAAGAAAAGAGAGAGAAGGAAAGTTACCAAGATTATTTGATAGTTGTTTAGGTAAGTGGCTAATAAATTTGACCCCCAGTTATCAGTGCACACTGAGATTAAGTCAGCCTGCACATCTTCCACAGTCAGTCTTTGAGCTATCCACAAAAAGGTATGACACATTACCATGGAAGGAAGACACAGACAAAGAAGAACAAAACTTGAGTTTTAAGTCTAACCATTAACAGAATGATTGATAGAGGTTTCTCCTGTTTTATGCTGCCATAGCCTACATGCCACTGCTATCAAAACAAACAAACAAACAATATAAAACAGCTCCACCTTTAAAACCCTTACCTTGTTGAGAAAGAATAAGTCACGTTTGCTCTTCAGGTAGTTGGATAGATTCCCATATTTGCAGTATTCGACAATCACCATCAGAGGCCCTATGGGCAAAAAGCAGCACATATTCAGCCATGCCAAGTCAGCCAACCCTTTGCCAGCCTTCAGCTGCCTGATAAATCTCCGACCAAATTGTCCTTATATTTGGAGAGCCTAGGTGTGCAACCTAGGGATGAGAGACTGTGAATATGGTGATTTTTTTTTTGAATTTAGTATGAGAAGAGGTTTTAAAAATACAATAGAAATAGAAAATGAAGATAGGTGGGAGAGGGACAGTGCGGGAGCAGAAGAAAGAAGAGGCAAAGAAATAACTTTCAGGAGCAGACAGGCAAAAGCCAGCCATCTTCTGCCCCCGCTAGGCAGGCCCTGGTGAGGGGTCACTGTCACACTAGCCTCAAAGTTACTAAGCAGGTTCTTTCTGCCTCTCAGGTGGAAAACGGGTTACCTAGCCTGTCTCGCCAGCAGCATGGCTGCCTGAGAGTGTCTGCACATCTGCTGTGGGGCTTGTGAGAGGCAGTAAAGCTTTGCTTTACAGCAAACTTTTTATAAACAACCAGGTAGTAAATATTTCAGGGTTTGCAAACCGGCCAACTATTCAATTCTGCCCGTGTAGTCTTGAAATGGACCTTGTTAGTATAACCGAGGAATATGACTAAGCTCCAACAAAATTTTACAAACACAGAAATTTTCATTTCTTAGTTCTTGTCCCAACTATTTAAAAAAGGTCAAAAAGCATTCTACGCCAAGAGGCTGGTGGTCATTTGCCGCCACTGATCTAGGCAAGCTGTGTGCTGCTGAGCTACACCCCCAGCCTCTGCCGCCCCTGTTCCAGTGGAAGCCAGCTGTTGAAAGTGGTCCACCTGCACTGGGGGCCCAGGTGGTATCCTGAAGACGTCCCAGCTCATAGACCCCTGTGAGCAGAAGGACCACTTCCGGCTCAAAGCGGAAATGACCCGGGCTGTTCCTGCCGGCAGCATGCTGGGAGCCCGCCCCCTGCCTCGGTGAAAAAGACTCTGGCTCTCTGCTGCTTCTTAGAGGCTCACAGAGGCAGGGGCTCATCTCTGTAGAGTAGATTTCTGTTACCACTAGGACATTCCTGGGTTTTAAATGTTTGCTGGGCATCCTTGTCTTACCCTCAGGGTTCCCGAACGGAAGTCGCTTCCAGAGTTTTTGAATCTCCCTAGTGAGCAGGTTCAATCTCTGCGCCTGCCCAGAGTCCAGCAGGAAGGGCTTCCCTTCTGATGCCCAACTGGAGGTGGATGATCTCATTAGCCTTACTTGGTTTTACAGGTGCCGCACTGTGGCAAACAGAACGAGGCTGCAGCAGCAGGAACTTTAGAAAAGCTTGTCGAAGGATGACAGAGGACTGTGGGGCTCTGTCTAGGTTACTGCGACTGTATTTCTGGCCTCTCTGCCCCTTAATTCCCCTTTAACCTACTAGTCCTAGCAGGTAGGTCTTCCTTAATGCTCCTTCACCCTCCTTCCTTTGTTGGGAGCTCGGAGAGATTTGTGTGCACAGTTCCTTTGCACCTCTCTCTTTGGCTCCTGTAACAGGTACACATCTACAGCCAGGCGCTAACCTTGCCATAGAGGAGGAAAGAAAGATTTGCAAGAGCAAGCTGGAGCCTCAGTCCTAAGGCACAGCCCTATTCCTGTCCCTTGCGCCAGGGGGAAAGGCCTGTTGCGTGGTGGGTGTGAAGGGAAGGGCCCTTTGTTGCCCACCTTACTGTAAGTGATTCATACGTAAAAGTTCAAGGAATGTGCCATCTTTTACACTTCCAGTCATTCTCCCTTAAAGTCGTCATGAAAGAAAAATGCCCTCCGACTGACCCAGAGCTTGTGAAAAGAGATCTAAAAGGGAGCCAGTCACTCCTGAAGCTTGAACCTTACTAGGAAGGTATTTCCAAGGTGGTTGCACCCTTCCATAAATGTTTCTGGAGCTATTGAAGTGAGGAAGGGCAGGGGTGCAAGGACAGAAGGAGCTGGATATCAGAGAGCTCGTCTCTCAGCAGGGGCACGGAGGTGGAGCAGACGCTCCCCTTCTCTTTTACCTCCTTGCTTGGTGCAGGCTCCCAGCAGATTCACAACGTTCAGATGGTGTCCAATGTGGGTCAAGATCTTGAGCTCAGTCATCAGGGCTTTGTACTCATTGGCTGTGGCTCCCTCTGTGAGAAGCAAGGAAAAGTCAGGGTGACAGGACAATGGGCTCCTTCCACCGGAGGCCGCATTCCTGCCCCCCTTGTTTGTCAATGCTCCACTGACTGCTTCATTAACTTCCTCATATTCTGTAGAAAAGGCCAAGACTCCAGAGTGTTTTCATTGCTCTGACCCTCCTGAGCCAACATCCTTTTGATTACAGTGAGGCCCAGTGTGGTGAAGGTGTTAGCCACTGAATGTTTCCCCTTGGTGGACCTAGTTTTGTTTAGCAGTGCGCTGACTCAGAGCTGGGTACCTAGCGACAGCGCCTTCTAAAGGCTTGCCTTGTAGCACAAACAGGTGCAGCGAGAACTCTCCAAGCAGGGCAGGCACGCAAGCTTCCCCTCTTTCTTTCTCCTTGTGTAGGGAGTCGGAGAGAAGGAGCATAAGGGGCCTGCAAGGGCAGGATGGCTGTTTCTGTGATCATCTTTGCAGTGTGTTACTTTCTCCCTATCCTCTTCCGTTCCTGGAGTCTCGGGGTTATCTCAGGCTATGAAGCCATCTGACTTCAACTTCGTTCTCAGAGATGAGCAATTCCAGTTCAAGAATTAGCAAAGCCTAACGCCTGAATTGAATTTGTCCTGTTTGTTCTTAGTGGTTAATTTCTACGGAATTTAAAAAATTACATTTATCTTCAGAAATATAAAAGTCAAGTGATGTTGCTGCAACATAGTCCAACAGTGTGAGTTGGAATAAAAAGTATGGAGAGGGCAGGGAGATAGCTTGGTGATAGAATGCGTTTATGGTATGCACAAGGTCCTGGGTTCAATGCCCAGCACCAAAACACAGACAAAACAAAAAGGATTTAGAGTAAAAGGATCAAAGTCAAAGTATTAAGTCATTCCACCCTACTTATCTACCTAAAGTGACCCCTTTAATAGTTTTGTACACTGGTAGATACTGAAAATGGTCATATTTTGAGGGTTTACATAAATGGAATCATTTGTACGTATTTTTAAAATTTGTCTTTTTCCACCTTTTAATATATCAGAGATTGCTTCTAGGCACACGAGCAACCCTAACATTTTATTTTTGTTTGTTTGTTTGTTTTGGTACCAGAGTTCAAACTCAGGACCTTGCACTTGCCAGACACGTGCTTATGGCACTGAGCTATATTTCTGGCCTCAGAGATTGTTTCTATTACTTTTATTAATAGTGTTCCTGATAGTTAGACTGTCTACAGTTTTTTACTGTGATGAATAATGCTATAGTAGAAAGCCTGTGTAGCATCTTGGTTCACATATGCAAGTATTTCTGCAGGGTCAGGTCCTGGAAGTGGTTAAAAGTGTATGCACTGAACTGTGTAGATGTCGGCATGACATTTCATAAGCACAAATCATTTTTTAATAATAACCAGATACCCTTCAGAAGCCTCCCAGTAGGAAGAGTTTGGCTTACAGTAGATGCTCAACAGATATTTGTGGATAAATAAACAACATGGTTATACTTCTCGTTTCAGACATGGGTGTAAGGTCTTAAAAGGTTAAGGTTTTGCTCAGAGTTACTTTGAAAGAGCTTCTGACGTTATGGCCTTTGTTTGACATTTTGCCTTTTCTCTTTCTGCCTAAGACAGATGGCTAACCATTCAGCAAGAATGCTGGATGACAGTGGTTTCTTAGAAAGTTTCTAAGAGTGGGTGATTTGGCAATCTTTTTCAACCAATGCCGATGGTTTAAAAATGTTCTTAAAAAGATATTATGCACAGGATCTCTATATGATTTCTGTATTACATAGAAGAGATCTTGTGGTCTTTTCCAAAAGATCTTTGCTGCCTTCAAACTCCTCCTTTAACACAGAAAAAGCCCAGTCCTGTTGCTCACATTGCTTCCTTACCCTTTTTTTTTTTGTACCGGGAATTGAACTCAAGACCTCACGCTTACCAGGCAGGCACTGTGCCGCTGAGCTATGTCCCCGGCCCGCCTCCTTTCTACTAGGCAGGGGCACAGGTGTGATACGTGGTGCACAGAATAGCACAGACAGCCTGGCCTCCTAGACATGGCGTGTGTCACAAGCGGGGAGTTGGGACCAGCTGATAAAGCAGATCTTCCAGATTCCATTCGGTTTATGTCTGGGAAGGGTTCTGAATCGTTTCCCTGAAGCGGGCTGCAATCATGTTCAGGGGTTGGGAGCAATGACCAATCCAAGGGGGCCAGGTCTCTGCTGCCCCCCTTTTCTGCCATGGTGGCTTGAGGGAAAGAAGAGTTCACTCAGGCTGGAAGACTCAGACACAGACCTGTACTATGTTTGCGCTGAGCGGCTGTGCAGCTTCACAGGCTGTTGAGCCTCTCTGGGCCTTGCCTGGAGCTGATATCTACCTCAGGAGGAAGCAGCCATTTTGTGTGGTCCATGCTAATAGAGTGCCTGGTCTGGTTCTTTCTCACGTAAAAGATGTGCTGATGCCACCTCTCTTTAGGGTCTGGGGCTGGGGGCGTGTGCTGCCGTGGCACTATTGTCACACAAATGCCTGCCATTGTCTGAGTTGTCCACTCCCAACAGAAGTCCTAACGGGCTGCACAACTTCCCAGGCTGCTTTCAGAGTAGTGCTGTCAGGTTCCTGCTCAAGTGCTTTTGTTTCGGCACATAATAACGTACACATTTATGAGTACAGGGATGACTCAGTGTGTGTGTGCAGTGCGTAATGATCCAACCAGGGAGCTTGGTGTTTCCACCTCCTTCAACATTGCTTTGTGTTGGAAACCTTTAAACTCCTCTCTTTGTGTTTTTTATAAAATACGTCAAAAACTGTTACAGACTGTAGAACAGCAGACCCTGTTCCTCTTGTCTTAGTTTTGGTACCGTGACTCAGGCCCCTGACGAGGGCGGCTCTCTGAGGTGGAGCGCAGTCCTGAGTGGTGGAGAGGAGGAAGGCCTGAGAATCCTCACACCCAGCTCTCTCCTGATGTCCGATTGGTTGGATTCACAGCTTCCTAGGCCTCAGAATCCCCCAACAACATCTTAGGGACTTTGGAAAACTGCGCACAGCTACTTTTCAGTGCTGTTTCTTTCTGGTTTTGGAATTTTTTTTTTTGTTTTTTTTTTAGAGTTTTGTGCATTTTAGTTTTGTAATCTTAAAGCAAACTGAAGTAACAAAACTCTATCACAAATGAGGAAATGAGGTATTTCATTTCATTCTTCTTATTATTTTCGTTGTTGTTGTTGTTTTGTCTTTTTGAGACAGGGTCTCGCTATGTAGTTCAGGCTGGCCTTGAGCACACTTTGTAGCCCAGGCAGGTCTCAAACTCCAACGATCTTCCTGTCTCAGCCTCGTGAGTGCTGGGGTTACAAGTATGCGCCACCGCACCTGGCTCTTCTTATTATTTTGGATGGTACCAGGGGTTAAACCCAGAGCCTTTGCACTGCGTTATATTCCAGCTCCAACCCCCTTTTTTTAAAACTTTGAGACAAGCTTTCTAAGTCACTAAGTTACCCAGGCTGGACTCAAACTTGTGATTCTCCTGACTCAGCCTCCCAGAGTAATGGGATTATAGGCCTGGGCTACCATGTTGGGCTATATTTCGACACTTTAAATACCGTGAATCTTTGAGATGCTTGAGATGTTTAGTGTGTAGCTTTTCACTGAATTTCCTTTTCAGTCGGTCTCATGGTGATAGGCATAAAGCAGAGTGTGACTTGGCGCTCCCTCCCAGGGCTTTACAGCTGTTGTATGAGGCGTGTAGCTTTCATACTAGAAAGACACAGTTCAATTTTATACTTTCTAAGAAGGAAATGTTTTATGCTTAGGGCTTGCCAGCAGGAGACAGTTTAAGGTTCTGACCAAGTAAGTCCTGTCTTTATAGCTGGGGCAAGTTCCCGCCAGACCTGTGGGTCTGTGGTGTCAGTTCTGTTTCCGTTACACTGTTGCAGTGGATTGTGCCAGCATTTTGAACCTATGCCACAGTGGCTGCAGGTCCCTGGTGTCTCGTCTGAGATAAAAGACTGTACGGTGACACAGATTATTTTCCCATGAGCTGCTTTCTGATCTGGACTGTGGTTCACGAACAAGATTACTCTCAGCTAGTGTGGGCTCTGTCTAAAAGCTCTGGAGCAGCGGGACCTGCAGCAGTGAAGAAACTGACATGGCCAGAGCAGAAATAGCTAGTGCTTATGCCCAGGCTGTGTTCAGCTTGCACCAGCACTTAGGGGCTTCCTGAAGGTGACAGGTCAGCCGGCAGCCCAGCTGGCATACACACCTTTCAGCATTTTCACAGCCACAGTCCGGCAAGTGGGGGACTTCTTGATGCCAAATGCAGACGCTTGAACCACTTTCCCAAATGCCCCTCTTCCCAGTGACTTGCCTGCAATGAAAAGAAGACATTGATTTGTTTGCCAAACCAGTAGGGCGAGTAAATCTTTTTTCAGGAAGGAAATGCCTTTTCCTATGTGTGGTGTGAGGCATGTAGCTTTGAACGGAATCTCTGATGAACTGACCCCAAAGGAGACATAATAAGGGACACTTTTCTGGGGTCTCTTCCTTTCTTTCCTCCATCTCTGAGGCTCCCACATCCTTCAGTAGGTCCCTGGCAGGCATTCAGCAAAGGTAAACGGCCAGTTTCCTTTTCACAGAGTCCTGGGGGGCGGGGGGAGCCTGAGTGGTCTCTCCATGGCTCAGTAATATCCCCAAGAAGCCCTCTCTGACAGAAATCCCTTTGCTTGCCACTTAAGGTTATTTCTTCTACGCTGGCTTCAGCAAAAAGAGCAGAATCAAGATTGATAGTGACTCTGCTGGGTTTTAATAACGTTTTATAACTTAAATAAACACAAAGTCGCTTTTCACACTTCCTTGCCAGGCAGAATATTCTCTGGCAAGTGTAGAGCATTATTATACGATCGTTACCGATCCTGTGGCTCCGTGCATGAGCCCATCAACCACTGGTAGTAATTTGTTTCATCCCCGGAGAGGTGGCTGCCAAATGCAATAACAAAGCAAGAGTTCTTGCATAGCACTCCTGGTTGTACCGCAGAATGGCTGTTAGTACGTTCCTGTCCACTCCCCTCCTCTACCTTGAATGAGCCAAGGTGACTCAGAGGGGTAAGGATACTCGCCCGGTGCTTGATGTACAGAAAGCCCCTGTGTAGTGAGTGCAAAATAGCAGCATTGGGGAATTCACCGGATGCCCAGAGAAACTCTCATACAGTCAGAGATAACTAGCGGGGCCTGGGAGTCCGTGGAGCGGGGACGGAAGAACCCTGTCCTTTGGGGAAGACACCCCCTGGAATACCTAGCTCCCTTTCAAATAGGGGGACTTTGTTTTTGCACCAGCAGGAAACAGAGCTAAATAGAATTCGGAGAAACACTCCATCTCCAGCTGAAAGAAGAGCAGGCAGAGAAATCACTGTTTGGGGGCACTTCTGGGGGAAAATGTAAACAAGAAAACCGCTGATCAAATGTAAATCTCGGTGGTTAGAATGTTTAATTTGACACAAGCCCTTCTTCTCCAATCAGGTTCCCTTTGCTAGCCTGCTTTGATAGCGTGCCTTCCTTCACCTGACGAACCTTCTACCCTCCCCTTCGCCCTCCCGCTCCAGCCCCTCCTCCAGAGGAGAATATATGTATGCTGTCTGAGGGTCTCTTAGAAGGTTTGTGATAAAGCTTTGGCGCTCCCTGCTCAGCCCAGATCCTTTATCATTTCATGTACAACTGCTCAGTGCCAAAAACGTCTTCAGTTTGCCTCTGCCTAATATCTTCTCCTGCCCACTACTCCAGGGGTCCAGGGGACATTTCCGTTACCAGTGTGGCTGTTTCTGCATCTGTCGCGGAGGGGCATGTGCCGATTTAGGAGGGGGACGCTGGTGGCATGACGTGCTTTTCCTCTGGCCAAATGTGCACCTGTGGGGACTACCAGGCACCGTTCCTCCCAGAGCGTACAACGTGGGCAGAGATACGATCTGATTCCTTTTTCCTGTAAAATGGTCCAAGGACTAGAGTAGAACGGGAACTCCTAAGTTAAAAAGCATCCAGCGACCCGTGAAAATGCACATGGAAATCACATGGGTGCAGAGCTCTGGCAGATAGTTTCTCCAGATTGGCAAAAATTGGTGCATTTTGAGCAGCTGTTTCTTCCCTGCTCTATTTAGGATAACAACAACGTTTTCCTTCCATACTGCCTTTGCCTGTCAGTATGAAAAGCGTCCTGAGCCTGTGAAATGTCAGGGTCATCTCTCCACACACTCCTAAGGCGCTTGCTTGTTCGGGGAACATGAAATCCTCTCCCTTTCCACAACTGCAGCCCCCACACATTCCCTCCGCAGCCGCCACAACACACTTTGTTTTAACAAGTGTTTGGGGGCTCTGCTTCTGTCAGTGAGGGCGCACTGCTTCTCCCTTGACTTCTCTGTCTTTTCATTTATACCCTTGGAAGCCGACTCCTGCCTCATGAAACAGCATGAAGCTATTATGGGCTCTTTAATCCCATGCAGACCCCTGCTTCCAGTTTCAGACAGCCCCGTCGCACTGAACTTGACCTCATCTTGCTCTTTTCCCTTGAAACTCGCCTTTGTGTTGCCTGGAATGCTACTAACTAGCTCAGAAATGGATTAGGTCATTGTCATACTATGCCGGGATGCTGGAATCTCCTCCAAGTATGTCCTGGATTACCCAGGACCCCCGGCCACTTGAGAGAGCGCAGGGCAGCATGGACTGAGCCCTTCTCTAACTTTGGGGGAGGGTGCTATTCTCACCAGAGGCAACACCCGCCCTGCCACCGTGCACTTGCCGAATTCCAGACGCCCTCGGTGGTTTCCCATATTAGGTAATTCCGCCTTGAAATTATTTTCCAATAGAGAGATGCAATGTCAGACGTTATCCTACCCTCTGAGATCAATTTACAGGAATGAAGTCTCTCCCCCAGGGTTAGTGAGGAATCATGAAAAAAAACAAAAAAACAAAAAAACGGAGTTCTTCTCTTTCTGGATTTCAGGAATTTCAATGGTAGCAACAACCTTTGACCCAAGACTCAGCTGTATTCATCTATCAGCTATTATCAATTCTGACTTCCTTCCCCAGGGCTGCTAATAGTAACCAATGGAATAGATACAGCTGAAACCACTCCTTGCTCTGTGTATTTCGCTACACTTCCAACCCCAGCGTAACTCTGCCCATCCAACCATCCTTTTCACCCCATCCATCTGGACACAATCGTGGTTCTTTTCACTTGTGCAGCGTTACTTCAGATTGCTTCCTGTCATTTATTTGGCTTAGAACACAGCGAAGTCGGGGGCCTTCTTGCTCCCACGTTAATCAGAGGAGCCTTCCTCTCGGCCTCGCACCCGCACTGTGCCCTGACGGACAGAGTTAACAGACGCGACCCACTTTCTCTTACCCATCAAAGATGCTCACCCGGAAACCAGCCAAATCAGATCCCGTGACAACTCCAGAAAGGAAAAGAATGATAAAAGGGACCTGTGAGGGGAACGTCCTAAAGCTGGACTGTGTGACCCTTGCGAGTCCCAGGGGAATTCTGGTCGCAGGGTTAGCCATCGCCCTCCACGTGCTGTGGCTCACAGTAATACTGGGGAGGAGTGAAGGGGCAGGAGGGGAAGCTCATGTGTCCTGGTCTCAGCGAAGCGTGTTTGATTGTGATTAATAATTCTGGAAAGCAACATGGCCTGAGACTGGCTCATGCTTGTGGGAAAATGATTCCATGCTCCCCGCCAAGGTCACCGAAGGGCTGGGCCAGCTGCCATGTAATTCTGATCTGCAGAAGGAACTCATCCAGGGTGCCACCTGCCTTGAACTTCTCTAAATTTAGTCGATCTGTGTCCCTGTCAGCAGCCGTTGCTGGCTCTCTCCCGTCTCCCTAGCTTTCAAGTGACTCCCTTGGTTTTCCTTCAAGTCAAACAGAACCTCCTCCCGGTGTTGTCCTTTCTCAGTGTAAACACAACCATTTCAAGATCCGAGAGGAAAACAAGAAAAGCCGCGCTGCCCTCTCTCCCCTCCCCTCACCCTTTCCGTATAGTTTGCATGTGGGGAGAGGGGTCGTGCCGTGGGGTTCGGAACAGCAAGTTCTTCCCTGAGAGTGACAGGCTCCAGGAACACTGCACCCACTATCTGTTTTTCTAGTTCCAACCGCTAATGACTCTGGCATACCCGGGAGCGAGTGGAAAACTTTCAGAAGCCACAGTGCAAACATTTCGGGTAGGAATAATTGAGGCTCAAATTGTTTTGTAGCCCCATGGGCTGGAGGTTAATGTGCATTGTGACGTCTGAACTTGGAGGTGCGGCGGGGGGGCGGGTTGGTGGGGGTAAGCTGAGGGAAGGCACATGGGCTGCTTGTTTATAGTGTTTGTTCCACCTGGAAAACAAGTCTCTGTTCTTCAAAAGCGAAACTGAAATGATCTCCTAGAGCTTTTTTCTCTGTTTGGACATTCCCAACACCCCAGGAAACTCAGAGGATGTAATTTGTGCATTTCTACAGAGGAGTTTTTGTTCACAGCCTTCAGGAGTACCAACTCGTTCACCAAATGTTTGATTTTGCTGTTCCTCACCTTCCTGATTTATGTTGTGGGTGCCGCATGTTTAACTGTTCACTCGTTTCATTATGTAAGAGTGCCTGCGCTTGGAACCTCCTGGGGGAACTACTCTCTCCCTTTTCACATTTTCCTCTCTCTCCAGACCAGCCTCTGAGGGAAGAGACCTTTGTATCCCCAGGATTCAGACCAGTGTCTGCTGCTCAGATACTGTGCCTACTAACTGTGGGTGAACACCCACGTGCTTCCTTGCCACCTTGTCCTGTTGTCTGAGCATCCCGTTAGAATTCTGTCCCTCTGTGCCCATCTCCCTTGCTCGTTTTGAGGGTAGCTGGTGGTAGAATCCCAGGTCAGTTTGCACTGACATCTCTCAAAGCATAGTGTTTCACACGCAGTAGCTTTCAGACAGGTTTATGACTCTTTCAGACAGATACATTACCCAGTTTGAGTCTCTCCCGGGCAAACTCCCATTTGCTGGCGTCATAGGGGAGCCGCTCGCACTGCTCGTCCAGGGGAACTTCATCAGGGTCCATGATAATTGATAGGTAGTCGGTCTTAATTTCTGAAGAAGACTGAGAAAGAGATGTCAAAGTCACCAGTAAGAAAATGACTTTAAAAAATGCAGGTATTCAATGTAAAACAATGCTTGGCAACATCCGCTACTTGGGGTCATTTGGTTGGAACTGCGCGGTCAGGTGAAAGTAGAGTATTTCTCCACACACGCACCCACACGCTATCACTCCCTTGAGCGTGTGGTTTCCATGAGACAGCTTGCTCTTCTACATGCCATTTCTGCAGTTCAAGTTCAGCCATTCTATCTCGATAAAATGCACTTAGATTCCCCAGAGACTTTATATGTTATGCTTGTTCTGAAACAATTATGTGATCGTTTTCTAGAAAATGCAAAGCATTTTTAGAGAACTTTCCCAAATGATGACTAAAAATAACTCTCTGTGACTATTCTGCACAAGCAGGAATATATACTGCAGACGGGCCAGCAATAGGACACACAGTGGCTTTTCTATATTTTCAAGGAAGGCCAGCAGTAAACAGTAAAGCAAACCCAGGATCCCTGGGGCAGGAAAAACACATTTTTTGTTGTTGTTTTGTGGTACTGGGGACTGAACCAGGACTTTTACACTGAATTATATCCCCAGCGCTTTTTATTTTTGGAGGCGAGGTCTTCTAAGTATCCCAGAGGGTATTTGAACTTCTGATCCTCTTGCCCTGGCCTCCTAGAGTGCTGGAATCACAGAGTTGTGCCCCCAGGCCCATCTAACTGGCTGGCCTTCAGTATGAAATAGAAGTTGATCACTTCACAGTCCAGGAGTAAATATAAGACTTATACACTACCACATTCTTGAGTTCTTTTGGCCATGGGGAAGATGTCACATGAATAAGATAAACATCTGCCTTGAAGTAGTTGTTTTCTTGGAAATGTAAATCAAGCCTAGGAAATACCCTCTATGCCAGGTGATGGATAACTGGATTTACATTTCACATTAGATCCACAATGTGTATATTCCCTCTCAATGGGCAGACTTCTGGAACTGATGACTACATTTCTATGGGCCGACTCTTGAGCAGGACAGAAGGGAAGCCTTCCCATCTCACCCTTGCCTAAAAGTTACGTGAACTTCATTTCAGCAAGCGCCGAGGCACTCCTTTCTGGGATTTCCCCTAACCTGGATCGAGCTACGCTGGGGAAGACAGCCTTTCCATACAGACCATTTCACACCCACCCTTCATCTGCCCTTCCTCGTCCTGTTCTGGGCTATCATGGCTCACCTCATCCATCACTTGAAATCATTCTTATTCTACAGAAATTGTCAGTAAAATGTGTGACCAACAGCTCAAGGCAGAAAGGTCTGTCTGGTCTTCCTAAAGGTGGGAAATAAAAAATACGCAGTATGTTTGTCATTGGCGTGAGCCTATAAGGTCCCACCAGTCTATAAGCTTGTAGGAGATTATTAATTCATATACAAGGTGCAGGGTCTTCACGAGAGACACACTTTTTGTTGGGGGGTGGGTTTAGTGACTAATCATTTCTATGTCCAGTATCACCAAAGCTGTGAGAAACAGTCTCCAGCCACTGAAGAGCATAGAATTGCTGAAGCCTAGTGTGATGGTTGATTGATTCTGTCAGTTTCAGTAAGAGAAGCTCAACTAAATTGGCTCAGCAATTCCATCCCCTGGGGTGGCTTTCCTGGATGGTGGGAAGGGGAAATGAAGAAGGATAGATCTGTTTCTTCAGCGGCACTCCAGTCTTCACCACTACCTTGGACGTCATGGCCTGGCTTCCGGTGCAGATGCTTTGGCTTCCGGTGCAGATGCTTTGGCTTCTGGTGCAGACCCTCAGCTTTCTAGCACAGACTCTAGCCTTTCATTGCAGACCCATTGGCCTCCAGATACAGACTTACACGGGACGCTGCAGTGAGCTCCAGACTTTCTACTGAGAGGCTCCAGTGTGGTCTCCAGTGTGCAGACACCCTCTGCATGCTTCCTCATTCAACTCTGCGGGTGGCCACTGGGAGCCAGTCTTGTAAATTCTTCTATGTTTCTATATCTTGTGTTATATCAGTTTCTCTAGTACACACTGACTGATACACCAGCAAGGGATGTCTTGGGTTTCTGCAGCATGTTTAGGGAGGCTGGCAGTAATGCTGACAGAAACAGGAATAGGCAATGGGAAATGAGGTCCCCATGGAATATTATGGTTTAATCTCCCTTGCTGGTGTTTTTTTGGTGCCAGGAATCAAACTCAGGGCCTTGCGCTTGCCAGTCAGGCCCTGTGCCGCTGAGCTACATGCCTGGCTCTATTATGGCTTAATCTCAATATGACAGATGAGGAAACCCCACACAGACTTTAAAGACTTTGACGGGAGCGTGATAGTGGAATGCTGGTTGACAAATTCTTATTCTTTGAAATGACATTAACCCTGAGCAGCTCCTGCATGCTTGGCATGGAGACTAATCCTGGATTTGAGTCAGCCTTCTATTCAGCTTCTGACCGGCCTCAATCTTGGCCAAGTTGCTTAATCTAAGACCAGTCTCCTTTCTGTAAACAGTGATAATAATCATACTTATCTCAGCGTTGTTGTGAATATGAAATGACACAAGCCATGTAAAGCTATTAGAACAGGACTCGGTTGCATGCATCAGTGAATGATAGCTATAATTATGAAGCTGGGCAGTGACAGAAAGATAAAATGTAATCTTCATCAATTAGGGATTTATGCTGTGATTAGAAAACCATGTGGCTGCTCTTTTTTTTTGTTGTTCTTCGGTGCTAGGGATGGAACCCAAGGCCCGTGAACAGAAGGCAAGCACTGTACCGCTGAACTACACTCCAGCTCCTCACATGGCAGTACTCAGTACTCTTTGATGCCTGCTTCCTTTTTGCCTCCCATGATCTAATTTACAAAAAAAATTTATAGTCTATGCTTGTGATACATAATACTGTAAATACATCTATCATGAGGAAGTGATACGTACACTTATCCCATGATCAAATTTTAGAGGGATTCTGCCTTTTATTTACTTTAAATATTTTTTAAGATCCATTCCCGCTGTCTGGCCCAGGCTGCCTTTGCATTTATGATTCTCCTTCCTCCACCTCCCAAGTGCTGGGATTATGTTCAGGTACCACTATGCCTGGCAAGGCATTCTGCTTTTGAGATAATAATCTTATTCCTATCATCAGCATTTTATAGAGTTTTGGAAATAGAAGAGGCTTTGTCAGTTTGGTCTCAGTTTACCTTTGCAAGCTGATTTCTGCCGTGCTCCTATGCTGAGTAACCAGAATGTTTCCCTAGTTTAGGTATAGCAAGAGGCAGGGCCAGCTCTCTTTTTCTGCTGCTTTCCTTTGTTTTGTCTTTTTGAGACAGGGTCTCACTCTGCAGTTCAGGCTGGCTTTGAGCTCACTTTGTAGTCCAGGCTGGTCTCAAACTCACAACGATCCTCCTGCCTCAGCCTCCTGAGTCCTGGGATTATAGGCGTGCGCCACCATGCCCAGCTAATTCTGCTGCTTTTCTTACAGCCTTCAAACTATTATTTTCAAGTATTATTTTCTCTGGAGTCTTTTTGCTCTTCTCCTCCTCGGAACTCTTACAATTTTGTTCCTCTCTTACAGATCTGGCAAGTTCTGCTTTTTTTACAGTTATATCCCTAGATGTCATATTATCTCTTTCAAAGCTATCATGGGCCCTGTTTCCTTCTAAAGCAGTGGCCTTAACTGTCATGTCCCAAAATCAGTCACTCCATAGGGAACAAACCTGGTGTCACGTACCCATCACGAGGGGTGGCTGCCAGCCTTGCCTCTAATAACTAGTGCTGTCACGTACACTTCACTGGTTTTGAATGTTGGGTGTGAGATCAAGCAGCCAGTATTTGAAACTAAGTCTCAACTATGACTTGAGTCAGTTACTCTACCTCTCTGAGCCTCTGTTTCTCTCTTTATAAAATGGAAATAATGATACACCTGCCTCTTTGCATTTTGGGAAGGATTAACTGAGACAGATACTCCATAAAAGGCTTCCCAGAAGACCTTGCACATTAATAGGCGCTAACCTCTTGAAATTGTGAGCTCTCCTGACCCTGCTGAAGTCCTTGTTTCCATCTCTTACACATCTCTCAACGCGATCATTTAGTCAGGTCAGCGTCACTTCCTATTTGACCGTTATAACTCGTGTGTGAGGGGGGCTCCCTGTTCACTCTCACCTCCTCTGGTCCCTTCCTATAGCAGCCAAAATGCTTTCCAGATGCAGAGCTGCCACACATCTGCAACCCGTGCTTAGCACCCTTCCCACGCCCAAGGCTAGCGTGGCTTAGAATACAGACTCAGTTCCTTCCGATGGCCCATAAGGCCCTGCCTGGCCAGGATCTGCAGCCCTGCCCTGGCTTTTCTGAGTGGCGCAACCTCGTAGCTGTTGCCCTTGCTGTCCCTATTGGCTTCCGGTCAGTCTGTCCTGCTCACTGTGTTCCCCTGCCTGGCCCAGCCTCAGAAATGCTCCTCCCTCTGCCTTCTACACTTTTCCCTCCTTCCCTGGCCTGACCATCCTCTTGCACATCTTTCGGTTGGAGAACTCTTTCGCCTGACAGAGTTGCAGTGTCACGTTCAACTGCGGTTGATACAAGTCGGTTTCCTCCCGGGCTGCACACAAGTGCAGTCTGCACTGAGAACGCTCACAGTCAGTATTTGAGGCATGACTGAAATGAATAGCAGAGAAGCAAATCACTTCGCAGCCTGGTTGTAGAACTCCATTGTCTTGAGTTCCAACCAGGACCCCACACTGCTGGTCACACTCTGCGTCCACTGTACTCAGAGAGGATGGAACGGCAGTGTCCTCATTTGCGTGCCTGTAAGGCTACGAGAGCCAAGGCAGAGGTGGCTCTATATTTTTCTGTGGTTTTATTTTTTAGTAGAGAATGAGGTTAAGAGTGTTCTCAGTGCAGGACCTCACAGAACTCATGCTAAATTTAATTTAAAGACTCTTACAAGGCTGGGCATGTAGCTCAGTGATGGAGAACCCGGTTAACAGGCACAAGGCCTGGGTTTGATCTCCAGCAAAAAAGGAAGACCGTTACATAGTTTTTAGATTTAAAACAAAAAACGACACAATTTCTCTGCCTCTGTTCACTGTTCCAGCGGTTCTTCTGAGTACCTCACTTGTAGTTAGAGATGTTTTAATCTTGTTCTCAGAATTCTCTGGGTCAGGGATACAGAGGAGGAGGAGGGACAGAAGAGATTCCTGTATTTGTTTAGAGCTTGCTCTAAACGCCGAGTGGGCAGTTCTGAGTATTCTGTGAAAAGGAGCAAAGAACTTCATCTGATAAAGCCTTACCCTTTTCAGTTTTCGGATAAAGAGGGTTAACAGGAGCCAGAAGAGGGTTGCAGCCACACAGGTGCACGTCAGAGTGATCAGCTCCAGATTAGACTTGTCTGAGGTTCCTGAAGAGAGAAAATCACCAAGATGCTGCTGAAAAGAAACGCTGAAATTCAGGGTGTTTGTGGTTTCCAGAGGCCCGTGGCCCCCGGTGGCTCATCCTTGCGAGTGTGATCTGCTAGCAGAAATGAGCCTCTGGGACGACGCTCGCCTTCTGAGTCAGATAGCACACGGTGCTACCACAGCAGTCTCACACATGAAAGGCTTTCCGGAAGTGCTGCTGTTGAGTTTGCAGACTTTGAAATCCCAGAGACAGCTAATTAAAAATCAGGGAAGAAATTAAAAATAGGGGCAAAAAGAAGGCAGGAACAAGAGTCCATTAAAATGCTAAATCTGGAATATGTTAAATGTCCCTAATGGGTTTTAGAGGAAATTCTAAAGAAAAAGGAAAAAGTGACATAAAAGAGCTCCGTTGGGACTCACAAAATTCTTCAAAGCAGACTTGAAAAATAAAAATAAAACTCAAGGACTATCACAGTTTTGCCTGCTTGCTCCTTTTGAAAGAGCCACTCCAAACCACCCACAGGCCCCCAGCCTCACGGCCTCTGTCTCCAACCTTGTCAGCAGCCAGAGTGTCGGCTGGGATGAGAAGGGATGACTGCCGGCCTAGATCCTCCCCGTCACCTCATTTCCCAGGATGACAGAGATCAAAAGCCGAGCACAGTTCCTCCCAGGCCCACCCCCACTCCCAGAGGACCCAGAGTTCTCAAGGGACACCTCCGGAAAGGAAACCCTTGGAATTTATAAAGGAGTGCCTCAGAGGGTCAGAGCACTGGCTCCCTGTGTATTGATTCCAATGTATAATTTTGCAGGGATTCTACAGTAATGCCCTTATCCTTTTGACTTCACTAAAATAAAATAGGTTTATATTAAGATAGGCCAAGAACAAGAGAACCTTTTTCTTTCTCAGAAATGATGATGATTTATTGACTACTTCTGCACCACCCACAACTGCCCTACAAAGTAGGTGGCAGCAGTATCTCAGTTTCATAAATGTGTTATCTTCTGGGCTCTGTTTCCATTCAACGGTGGTATATTAGGTCTGCCACAAGCAAGGACGGCTGCGGAGGAGGTAGGAGGCTGAGTCGGGGGAGACGCCCATTTAGCCCCAACCAAGAGACTAATGGCAAACGCAAGGTAGTTAGATTTAAAGACAGCTTCAGAGGGTGAGGTGTCTAGTATTTTCTGGCAGAGGTGGCATCTGAAATGAATTTTGGTCTGCAGACATGAAGACAGTGAGGTTGGTATCGGTAGTGGGAACAGTGAGGGAAGTCCAAGACTGGGAAGCGTAGGGTGCCGGTGGCAGTGGGAACCGGGGGACAGGAGCAGAGCACAGGCTTCAGAGCAACTGCCTGGTGGCTTGAATTAAATGTTGCGGGCTGTTGGAGCCAGTGAATGCGCCCCACCCTGAACTGTAGCAACTGTACATGCCGGCAACCTGCGCGTAACAAGATAGTGATAGTTACCGAGTGTTTGCTCTTGTGCGGGCTCTTCTAAAGTCTGACATGTATTCATTCGCCAGGGCTCACACCAGCCCTGTGAGCTAGCTGATTCCTAATTGGTGCACAAGGAGCTGGAGACACAGAGAGATGAAGCCTCTTGCCCAAAGTCACGCAGTCTGCGAGCGCTGGGGACACTGTGTGCTTCACAGCAGGCTTCCGAGGAAGGGCTCACCACTGCTCTCGCAGCTCCTCAGCCCTTCATGTGCTTGTTAATCACTTCTCATAGGCCACGTTCCCCGCTGCAAAGTGTCTTGTGCGGAAAGGAAGCCGGCGCTTTTTCTCTGCCTCGTCCTTCACAGTCCTGTCCCTTCGACTTCCACAGCTCATGAAGCGGTCACCTCTCCTAACCCACGCTCACCGCCCAACGTAAAGCCTCCTCAGTGCTCACCAAGACGACTGCAGTAGCCTATGTGGCCTCAGCGCCCTCCCAGCTGCCTCCTCTGCAGTCCTGTCCCAAAGTTAATTCCCTATTCTCCTACGTACCTCAGCTGCAGCATTTGCGCCCCATTACTGTCAGATAAAAATCTAGATTCTGGGCTGGGGGTGTGGCTCGGTGGTAGAGCAGGCGCTTAGCAAGCTTGAGGCCCTCAGTGGCATCCCCAGTGCCACAGTGAGAAACTAAATCGTTAAGTTGCGTATGCCTGACCTTGGCTTTCAGGTTTTGGCCCAGGTGCCATTAGAATGCTTATGGTGTCTTACATTCACCAGCCCTTCCGCACATGCATGCTTTGGCTTTGCTGATTCTCTACCAGGATGTGAACTTCCTGGGAGCCGAGGCAGCACCTTACTTATCTTATTCACCCCACTCCTCAGGGTGGGCCAATGGATGGATGTATCTGCTCTGTTTCTCTCCAGACTATTTCTTGAGGCTGTCAAGGAAGTCAGGGCAAATCCTTGTCCCTGTGCATTGATTCAGTACACGTGGACCACCCCTGGGTCCCAGATCTGTTCTAGGGGCTGGTGTACAGTGATAAGAGAAAGGGCAAGGCTGGTGTCCACAGTCTGATGTTCAGCTCTGAACTGCTAGATGTGTCTAACGTTCTCGCACAGAAGAGACAACCTGATAATAGTGATCAAGTGAATGAACAAATCCGGCTTCACTGTCTCCTTTGTCAGCTTTGAATTAAATTGCCCCGAACCTCATGGTACAGCCTAGCTGCACCTCCTGGGCTTGAAAACAACTTCTTTGAAGAAATTTCAGAGTATGGTAACCTTTTCCCTCCCCGTACATCATCAGAGTGGAAACACTGTAAGCTCAGGTTCATGTGAATGTGAATTTCTTCTCCTACAGTGTGAGGTTGAATGCTGCTTTGTTGCACACACACACACACACACACACACACACACACACACACACATCCTTGCTTATGCTAAAGTTTTGTGGAATTTGGTGGACCTACTAAAAGCAAGGCACAATGGCCTGTGGCTGTCACAGACACTGATAATATCTTGATGTCTTGAGAGCTGGCACTGTCTGCGTAGAACCTCTGCAGATGCTTCCCGCATGGAATGTGTTGCTAGAGCCACGCCCCCTCCCCCTTGTGGGAACTTTCTCACTGCATTCTGTGGGGCCGGAAGCGGACCCCCAAAGTCTTAATTCCATAGTCCTTACTCAGGCAAAATTCCTTTCAGTGGGACTGTGTGTGTATGTGAACACACATTTAAGGAATCAACTTGTTAAAAAACATCTCCAAGATATACATTTATTAGGAAAGATCTATTTAATATTAATAGTATAAACAAAAGCAGAATTTTGCCATGTGTGATACAGTATCCATGCTCTGTCTTACTTGACATTTTTATCTCTGTTTTTGAAAAATAACTGTCAGGATAATCTCATGATGGATAGACTGATTGGAGCGAGCTCTTAGGTGTTTTCTCAATGGATAAATGTCCCCTGGTCTGTCCAGCCCCAACTTCAACTCACTGGTGATAGCTGATGGGCTCAGTGTGTGAAACAGCCCAGCTGTGCTTCGCAGAGCAAGGAGGCTGGGGAAATTTAAGCTGCAGTTCATAATAAGTAGATGCCAGCGTAGGGTGTCAGGGACAGTCACTTCCATATGCTATCTGTGAAGGGCCAGCATCGGGACATAGTGCAAGGCTATTTTTATTTGGGATATTGGCCAAAATGTGGCCAATTAGAAAAGCGCGTGGTAATTGTGTCTTCTTTGTTTTTTATTTTGGTACTATGGATTTAACAGAGGACCTCAGTCCACCTTAGGAGAACATCCTTCCCTGAGTTACACCCCAGTGGGCCTTTTTTGTTTGTTTGTTTGCTTGCTTTTTACATTTTGACAAGTCTTCCTAAAGCGTGGGGATTATGGGCGTGTGCCGCCACGCCTAGCTCAACATGCTTTTTCTTAGAACGCGGCCCTGTTGCATAGAACGGCCCTTCTCAGTTCCCATCCCAGGCTTCACGCCAACCCTCCTGGCCACACGTCGGGTGAGCTGAAGGCTGGTGCGGCTTGTCTAGAGTCAGTGCAGCTGGCAGTGTCCTGAGCCTTCCTCCTAACCTGTACTGTACAGTCTGGTCACAGCACACTGGCTCTGGCATGAGGCACTGTGTGTACCGGGCTGCTGGAATGGCAGCAGCAGCGCCATTCAACCTGCCTCATTCACTGGTACCAGAAAAAAACAACAACCCAAAAGCACACTTTGGCCTCAGGTCCTGGCTTGCCTTAGGGATCAAGAATACATTTCAGCAGCAGCTGGCAAGGAACGCCATGAGCAGCTGTGTGCAGTAGACCAGGGACTCTGCCTCAGTTTCCTTACCTTTAAAAAGTAGAGGTTATAGCAGTCCCTACCTCACAGGTCGGATGTGTAAACCTGGTGTTAGGAATTATTTGGAAGGCTTCTCCCTGTCCCTTTCCCCCTCTTCCAATTTCTTATTGGTTTTTGAACTTCAAGGGCAGGGTAGTTTTTGTTTTCAGCCAGATACACTACATGTATCATAATTTGCCTTTTCTACCTAAGACGTGAATTTTCTTTTTTGGTTTTTTTCTGGTACTGGGAATCGAACCGACGACCTTGTGCTTGCCAGGCAGGCGCTGTGCCACTGAGCTAAATCCCCAGCCCTTACCTAAGATGAGTCAGACTTTGACTTAAGTAGCCATCATTTTCTGCGGACGGCTGAGCTCCCACCTTCGCTGAGAAATTTGCCCAGTGCCACAGGGTCGCTTAGGTTTTATTCTTTGGTTCACTTGTTATTTCAGTTTGAAATAATTAGTGAGGTGTGTTTATGACCTATTAAATTATTAGGACCTCAAGCGGCGGGTGTGTTCTGGTTCATTTTTGTATTCACTGGCTCAGAGCAAGTCTCAGTAAAGTTTTCTGTACGGATGAAGAGAAAATTCCCAGACCTGACTCTCAAGGCTCCTGAGTAGCCCGAGTTAATCGACCAATGCTAACTCCTTCCATCTAAATCCCGGTAACTAGTAATCTGTTTAACCTTATTAATATGTAGTTTCTTGAAAGCTTTTTGAAATATTTAAATAGGCCTGTAGACCTTTATAACTATTCATAAAGTTTTTTTAGGAATCTCTGTATACTAATTTGGAAGCACTCTTAAGGACAGTGATTTATGAAAGTATTGTATTCAGATTAAATTTGAAGCACAGATTTCCAGAGTTAAGTGAAGATACTTAAAAAGTTACTATCTGTGACATTAGTTCTGTAACATTTACTTGTATGACAACAAGTTAATCATTAAGCCAAACTGCTCCGTGGTTTGGAACACCGCTGGGTGACTCACTGGCCGAGTGTAGGAAAAGTCTAACAGAATGCTTTGTTGAACTAGAGTTTGGTACATCATATTAATGAACACTAATGTTAGCTAATATTTATAAATTTTTATCATATGACATATACTGTTTAACTGTGCTCTTACAATAGCTCTGTAAAGATTAGTAAGCTATTTTTAACAGGTCCATTATGTCATGAGAACACTGAAGGAAGGTAGGTAAGTTGCCAAAGCTGCCAACTTGTGCTTTGATTATTATTAGCCCGGGTGCAGAGGCACCTGGATTCAGAGGGGTTCTCATTAACTACCTGCTCTGCTGCCTTAGAGTTGAGGTGCAGTAGAGCAGATTGATCAAACAAGATCCCAGTGCTCAGCTCTGCCCCTGCTAGTTGTGCAGTCCTAAAATCATTTCACCTCTGTGTGCCTAGATTCTTACTCTCAAATAGCTGTCCTTCCTTGTAGCATTGTCGCAAAAGTTAAGGATGGTGTGCTCTTGCGTAAAACAGTTCCCTGCATGTTTGATGAGCGAAAGATAGAATCACACAGGTCCAGGCCTTTCTAGAGCCTAACAGTAAGTTCACTAGCCTAACATCCGCTTCTGTAATACCTTATGAAGTTTCATGCCAGCCTAGGTTCCACAGGAGGAATTAAGATGAGTATTTTTTTGGAGTTTGAATTATTTCGCCTTAAGAATTATCTACAAAGATCTTAATCGTCCTAAATGAATTCCATGCTAGTTTTCGAATGCGTGACTGAAGCCGGCTTTATGCTGCTGCTGTTTAGAATTGAAGGAAAAAGTCACGTGTGAGGACAATCAAAATATACAGTGAATGTTTAAACTTATTACAGTAAAAGACACAATTTCATTAATCCTCCTCAAGACACCCCCTCGCTTCGAACATATGCACCATTCACTTGCTGGAGCACATCTGGAAGTCCACTTTCATGAGTGTGTTTATGAGATATGATAAAAAATATAATGAATAACACTGCCAGCTGTAATCCAACAGAAAATCGGGCACATAAAAACATTATGGTCACCCCGGAGGCTGAGACAGGAGGATCGTTGAGAGTTCGAGACCAGCCTGGGCTAAAAGTGAGCTCAAGGCCATCCTGAACTGCATAGCGCGACCCTGTCTCAAAAAAGACAAAAAAACAAACCAAAACAAAAAAATGTTATGATGTGTCCTCATCCTCCTTATTCGCTGGATCTGACACCATGCTACTTCTGGCTCTTCCTCAGTCAAAATGACCATAAAAGGTAAACATTCTGAACTGATTCAAAACATGGAGGCAGCTGCCACAGCACAAACAAAACATACTCAAGAAGACTTCCGGAAGTGCTTTAGAAGGTGGCAAGAATGATGGATGATTGTGTTCAAAAGTAGGGGGAATATTTTGAGGGCAATTAATGGCACTGTGTCTTTTATGTGACACATTTTTTAAACATTAAACAATCACTTACTTTTTTTATCACACCTCACATATGCCTCCTGTGTAGAACTAGTGAATAGTCAGTTCATCTGTTCTGAGCATGTTGTCTCCTTGGGAAACCCTTGGCGCTTGCCAGCACTGATAGGAGCAATACTGGTCCCCAGCACAGTCCTGTGAATGGGTCCATCACATCCTTCAGTGCCAAGTTAGCTGGGGAGGGAGCACTTCCTTGTAGCACTGTCGCACAAGTTAAGGATAGTGTGTTCTTGAGTGAAACAGTTCTCTGCTTGTTTGATGAGCTAGGGGGTATCTTGAGGAGGATTAATGAAATTGTGTCTTTTACTGTAATAAGTTTAAACATTCACTGTGTATTTTGATCGTCCTCACACATGACTTTTTACTTCAATTCTAAACAGCAGCAGCGTAAAGCCGGCTTCAGTCATGCATTTGAAAACTAGTGATGGAATTCACTTAGGATGATTAAGGTCTTTGCTCATTCAGAAAGTGGGATGAAGGTAGAGGATGAGGCTGTGAAAGGAACTGAAAACTGAGACCTGGGCAAAGGCTGTAAAAATTGTAGCAGTGTGGACCCAGGCAGTTTAGTTTTGAGCTTTTTCTATACTTGAGTAATAGCATTTTATTAGAGAACAATTCTTCCTTCTGTATGGGTCTTTTCCCGAGGGTATCAATGTACAATTACTGTAGCACAAATTTTACAAACCATGCCTATAAGGACATCAAGTACTGAGACTGTAGGACCCCAAGGGAATAATTTTGTCTTCTGTCATTTTAAAATCCATTAATCGTTTAAAAAAATGTTTATGATGATAGTTGTTCTTCACATTTCCTATGTGTAACGCTGTTGAAATATAGCAATGAAAAAAATGAAATATAGCAATGCCTACTTCTGTTGTAAGAAAGTGCTTTTATATATTATGGTTATTACTTGCAATAAAAATGTTAACAGATACATTATCTTAAGTCTTTGGATGGAAATATGCCACACTTGCATTGTAACAGCCCCATCGAGAGCTGAGGGCTACTGAATGTTAATTTCAGAAGTGATCAGGGACCCAGGGTGGGGTGTTTGTAGACTGATTTCAAAAATAATTTTGGTTGCTAACAGTTGTATTGTTGATCTTGATATTGGAACTTCCCCTTTGAGAGCTCTCCGTGGGCTCAGGCTCTGTCCAAACCAAACAAGACCTGTGCTTATTTAAAGAAGCTACTTTGACTCCACAGTGCATTCATCCTTTTCACATACAAAAATAACACATTGTTTTATCTCTGAGTATAAGAATCCTTTTTCAAGGGAAATAAAAAGAGCAGACAGTTTCCTTCCTGGCTAATTCCTGAACCTCTTTAAATCTGTTAAACATAGTCACAGACACAACTTGTACGCCTGGGCAAGGGCAACTTGTATGCCTGAGTTTCATTTCCTATACTCAGTTAGACAAGATAGGTCAGTGTGAAGAGTCCATATGCATCTAACAGGAAATCAAGTCTAAACCTAGAGAATGCTTCACAGCTACCAGGCTGATGCAAATAATGATCTAGGATTAGAGCAAGAATCCAATTTCATTCTAAAATTATCAGGCAGATAACTGCATTCAACCCTTCTGAACAGCATCCCGGGATCATATTTCTTTAGTGAGCTGAAAACAATTCAGTTCAAGATAATACACCTAATGTAGACATGCGAGTTTTCCTACAATCCACGCAATATCAACTTGCAAAATTCTGAGTTATATCCTCACCTGGGGGGTGAAACTTCACCATCCCCCCTTTTGGGTTCTAGTTATTTTTTCAGGTGTGACAAAGAGCGAGTTAAACGCCATCTTTCAGAAAGCTCCTTAAGTATTTGAAGCAAACAGTTACATTTTCCCATACTGTCTCTTTTCTAGGCTCAATATCCTCATTTTTCATGTTATTCATTATCCTATTCAAATAAATGGCTCTGTTTATTCTTCTTTTATAAATGGGCACAAGATCTCAGGTGTATTTTGACAGTTGTGGGTACTTGACCCAGTTTCTCAGCTAACTATACTTTCTGAGCAAAAAGGTAGGATATGGCCGTGGCCCCTGAGAGCAGGGGAACAATTATAAAAGAGATAACAAGGGAGAAGCCAGATCAGGGCACGTGAGGGGGAAGAGCCCACGAGTCGTAAGTACCAGTCCCTCAGAACATCCAATGCCTAACTAGCTGTAACTTCACTGCTTTTGTTACTGCTGAGAGGGATGTCCCAATGGAAGGTTCGCCCAACTCACCGTCTTTCCTGTGCCGTATACCTTGCAGCATCCTGCATCCTGCATCCTTCCACAGGGCAGTGCACGCTCTGTCCTCTTTGGTCTCTCTGAATGCTTTCAGCCCCTTTGAGTAGTATTGTGTTATGTGTATTATACCAATTAGTGTTCCCACTTTGCCCTTGTGAGGAGCTCAGAATGTTCATTGATGTTGTTAGTGTGCACCTTAATCTAGGCTTTCAGGGCACTTTGAAATTAGGGATCACGGCTGACATTTCCATATCCCGCATAATCCCTGGCAGATTATTGAGTTAACACTTAATTAAAGGTGGCTTTTTTCTAAACCAATTTTAATATATTTTCTATTTAGATAAAATGTGGTTTTCTTTTCTTTCATTCTTTTTTGTTTGTTTGTTTGTTTTTGTCTTTTTGAGATGAAGTCTCACTTTGCAGTTCAAGCTGGCCTTGAGTTTACTTTGTAGCCCAGGCTGGTCTCGAATTCTCAATGATCCTCCTGCCTCAGCCTCCCGAGTGCTGGGATTACAGGTGTGTGCCACCACACCTGGCCTTAAAATGTGGTTTTCTACATAGAATGCTCAAAAAAAAAAAAAAATTTACTCAGCACTCTGAAAATGAAAATAACCAGGTGTTGTAGCACACACCGAGGCTGAAGCAGGATGATGATAAGTTTGAACCCAGCCTGGACAACTTAACTTAGTGAAAATCCCCTGTCTCGAAATAAAAAACTAAAAGGAACTGGGGATGTAGCTCAGTATGAGTTAATCCCAGTACTACAAAAATAAAAAGCAAGAAACAATGGCAGGCACAGCATCCAAGGGACATATCAAGCACTGTGTGAGCATAGAGAGAAAAAAAATGACACAGAAATAGGTCAGCAACAGAGAAATGACGCCAGAGTGGGTCTTGAAGGATGGGAAGGGTTGTACAAGGGGAGAGCAAGTTGGGAAGGAAGGCTGTCCAAATATCAGAAGACACACGCAGAAAAACAGAGTGTGAGGAGTGCGTTCAGGGACTCCCAAGCAGTTTCGCTGGAGGTCTGGGAATGAGCAGGGGAAGCCGAGAGATGAGGCTGAGAAGGAAACCTTGGAGTACACCGGAGAGCAGTGTGTGCCTGGGGGAGGACAGCAGGCAATCGGGAGCCACCGTCAGATGGGAAATGACAGTTGGGAAATTCTACTTTAGAGGGAGGAGGTGGAGTGCCGGACGGTGAGAGAAGTAGGTGGGTGGGAGAGGAGGCTGAAAGAAGATGGAAAGACATGATAAAGGTCAGAAGATTGGCAGCGGCAGCCAACATGGGCGATGCAAGTGGAAACACTCCCCTTTTTCAGGAGTAAAGAGTAGAGGCTTCTAGAAACTTCTAGAGACGATCAGTGATGCGGTATTCTTTAAATAGCCTGACATCTCAGAAAAGCATAATGACAGTTCAAAAAAGGACCAGTGTAAGAAGTACGTAGTGAGAAAACCAGAATGGCAGGATACCTGACAGTGTAGAAGCTCAGTTTTATCCTGAGGCCTTGCAGACAACTTCCTTCTCAGGAATGAGAAGAGTGGGAGAAGGGTGGGATTCTTTGGAGGTTTACACTGTCTCAGCCTCACCATGTATTTATTGTGTGATTTTAGGCAGGTTATTTAGTCTCTCTGTGTCTCCATCTTTCCATCTATAGATTGAACGTAACACTATTTACTTCTTTAGGTTCTTACAAGGGTAATAGGATCAGGTAGAGTTGTTCTTTGGTCTCCAAGTCTGAGGATGTTCAAGCCCCTTTTATAAAACGGGGCAGTGTTTGTACAGAACTTCTGCATATCCTCCTATATATGTTAAACTGCCTCTAGGTTACTTATAATAAATACCTAGTACAATGAAATGTTAAAAAAATAGTCATTATAGTGTAAGGAATAATGATAAGGAAAAAATCTGCATATGTTCAGTACAGGTGCAATGTTTTTGTTCTGCATGTGTTTGATCTACAGTTGGTTGAATCTGGGGATTCAGAACCTATGGATCTTTCCTGTTGTTAAAAGACAGACCCACTGTATTAGGAAGGAGTCCATCAAGAGAGACCCACATTTAATAAACTGTTTGCTCTGTGAATGAACAGAAGAGTTGAAAGAATATTTTATAAAAAGGATCATTTATAAAACAAACAGGACCATTCTGAGCGTATTTGGAGACTCTCTCACTTTTTCTGGAAATTTGTGGTAATTTCAGTTCCAGGAGAATCTAAATTATTTCCTTGTAAACAATGGAGATGGTAATTCTGTTTTAAAGAAGTCTGAAATCTCAGAGTGATAATCTTTAAGCAATACAAGTTTCCAAGGCAAAAGAACTAAAGTAAATTACCTTCTTCCTGGTTCCTCCCTCAGAAGTATTTGCGTATTCTGGGGTTATTTTGTTTGTTTGCTTTTTTGTTTTGTTTTGGTGGTGCTGAGACTTGAACCCAAGGCCTTGCCTATGCTAGGCAGGTGCTCCACTGCACCATATTCTCCAGCCCAGTACTTGGATATCTTAAAGTACACTAACACCTTGGTTATTGAATTCAATTTGTTCCAAATTTGTGTTCCCAAAAAATTTGAGAACTGAGCATAGTTTCCCATAAGAAATAATGGAAAGCCAAATAATTTCTTCTGAGGCCCCCAAATTACACTTATAAATTCATTTTTCTAAGACTTTAACATATTTCACAATGATCTCTTTCTTTAACTCTATCGTGGCTCTTACAGTGTTCCTTTTAGCTTTACTGCTGGTGTCCCTAACTTCCTTTGGAGTCACGTTGATGATATTTTACGCAAATGAAGCACCAAAAGAAAAACCAAAACAAAGCACAATGATGACTGTTTGCAAGCGCGAACACAAGCACTGCGTGTTGTATGACTCACTCTGAGCCTGTGCAGGTTTTCTCAGGTCAGGTTTTGGCTGACTGTGGGGCAAAGTTACGAACATCAGGCAGAGGTTTTTTTTTTAACTTTGCTGTTCGAGTAGCAGAAAGTTCGACTTTGGAGCCAGTCAACAACCAAGGTATCGCTCGCTGTATACAGCTGGGCATTTGGAAACAGGCTGCTGACTCTGCATCTTTTCTTGCCAAACCTGAGTATGCCGTTAGCAGCGATGTCTGCGAGGTGCCAGTCTGTTATTTTATGATACTGGGAATTTTATGTTTTGGATGACTGCAGCCCTGGGGACTGGAAACTGAACGCTAATTTGTTTTCCACATGGAATCAAGGTTGAATTAGGCCTCTTTGTATTTGAGGTGTCTGAGGTCTCTATAGAGGCAGGAAGCACTTGGAATATTTTTCTTAAATGTGGTTTATTATGTGTTGCTTCTCTCTGATAATATTTTACACCTATTCACGGTAGAAACTAGTCTAGGAAAATATTGTGAAAAGTTGCATGTGTCTAACTTCTGGGAATCAGGGAGGGAAAAAAAAAGACCAAATTCAAGGGTGTGGATTCTGCCCTCTTTGCTCGCACTCCTCGCCCCTACCCCCTGCCTTTCCTGTCTGCCTGGACTTATTCTTTCTCACCCGGCCCATTTTGTTGTGGGTCACTGTAATCACGCTGTCCACGGCGGGGGTTCCTTTCTTCCAGGAACCTCTTCCCTGCAGAGCCTGTGCCAGCCGGAGTCTTCACCCGCTGCCCTGCCAGCCCGACCCAGACAGCCCTTCCCGGAGGGGCAGCGGAGGTCAGGGAGAGGAGCACACTGGCCAGGCAGCGGGAGACGCCAGGGGAAGTTAAACAAACAGGGAAACAGCGTCTGAACAGCTTCTGGTTGCGGCCCGACACAGCTGTTTACCTTGCACGGTGAGGTACGCTGAACTTTCCACGGCCCCCTTCTGGTTGGTAGCCCTGCACTGATAGACACCTTCATCCTCTTCTGTGACTCTTTCAATAAACAGCGTGCTGTTTCCTGGTCCCAAAATAATTCCTGAGGGGCGAGAGATGTTTAGATTAGCGAGCCTGGGTGACACACAGAAACGGCTACCTCGGGAACGCGAGTGTCTTCCTCTCCTGATGCGTCCAGACGAGGAAATCCGAGCTCTTGCTAACCTGGGTGGACAGTGAGTTTTCGCTGGCGCCTTCCCTGCTCAGCAGAGCTGCGATCTCCGGCTTTGGAGACACACCTTTCCCACTCGGTAGGGAGCCCTGACGCGAGCTGCCACACCCAGACCTGAAAGCTGTGATATCAAGAAGGTGGCATATCTAACAGTAACAACTACATTCGCTGCATACCCACTGTGTACTAAGCACCCAGCATTTATAACTACCAGTTGGGAAGTACCTCCTCTTTACAAAAGAGGAACCTGAGATACCCCCAAGGTCCGGTAACTTGACCAAGAACTTGCAGATTAATCAGACGCACGTTTGTGGCATACGGGTCACAGGAAATGATATGTTTTTTTTTTTGGTGCCGGGAATTGAACTCAGAACCTTGCGCTTGCCAGGCAGGCACTGTGCCACTGAGCTACATTCCCAGCCCGGAAATGGTGTTTTGCTTGTCACACAGCCTGATGGGTGGTATGGTACAGTGGTAAAGAGCTCGAGCTATGTTTGAATCCAGGCCTTACCACTACAGGCTTCATCACTTCCGGCAAGTTACTTAACCTTTCTAAACTTCAGTTTCTTCGATCTTAAGATAAAAAAGAAGCAGTTTCTATGTAGTAAGTGTGAAAATGAAAGGCGAGTGTATGGCAAATAGTAAACACATTTACTGCAGTACTAGAGAGCGTGGCATAATGCAGAGAACTGAGCTCTCGGGACCCCGAGAGGCCCGAGGACCCAGTGGCTTTTCCACCTGGTACTGTCGCCAAGTGTTTATTGACTATTTCCTCCACCATCAGTGCATGTTAGAGATGTTGCACAGCAGGGAAAGACCTGGTATCTGCTCCAGAGAGAAAATTAATTTATACTTCCCTTTCTCTCTCTTTCTCATTCATATTCACAGACACATACATACACTATGCAGAACATATTTAATGAATGAGAATGAATACATGTTTGAACACCACACCTAGCTAAGTGCAAAGTCTGGACACCAAAAATGGGTGTCCTCAGGGAAGGCTGCATGGAGGAGGTGACCCTCCAGTGAGACTTGAAGGATTATCAGAGGTGCGGTGAGAAAGGATGGCTTGCAAAAAGACAAGATGTAGAAGGGAATGTACGTGGAGGGTTTATTCTGGAATAGTAATAAAATGGGTCTCACCAGACTATAGTCTATGTTTTGTTAGTTTAAATAAGTTATAGTTCTCTGATTACAAAAGATATAACCAATATAGAAACTTTGAGAAATATTTGAAAGCGCAAAATATATTTTAAAAACAGACCAACAAAACACAATCTTCTCTCTTCCCAGAGGTTGTCTCTTTGGTCTTATTTTTGTGAACTTTCACATAATTTGTTCCTCATATAACAAATATTTTTGTTATACATCCCTGTATGTGTTAGACAGTATTCTAGGTGCTGGTGATACCATAATAAGCAGGCAAATAAAATTTTTGCCTACAGAGAGTTTAAATTCTAGTTTTGGGGACTTATAAATAGATAACATAATTTCAAGTAGCAATGAAGTCTATGAATAAAACAAACTCAGTTAAAGATCCTGGGAAGAAATGAGCCATCTGAGGTCCTGGAAAATAGCACGTTAGGCACAGGGAGTAGCAATTGTATGGTCTGTGAGGGCAGAAATGAGCTTAAGAAACAGGAAAATGCCCCTGTGATGAAGTAAGCCAGCAGAAGAGATGAGAAGGAGGGTTGGAAACGCAGCTCAGTGGTAGAACACAGGCCCGCATGTGTGAGGCCTTGGGTGCTAGTCCAGGACTTCAGGGGGTAGGGGGGAAAGGAGCGGGACAGGGTCCAGTTCGTGTGTGACCCTGGAGGTCACGGTAAGGACTTAGGATTCTACTCTAAGTATAGTTCAAGGCCACTGGAGGTTTGTAAAACTCTGTGGGGAGCAGGTTGGAAACATGGAAAGCAAGTAGCTGGCTACTGAATTTATCCAGCATGAGACATAGTAGCTTGGCTGGAGTGACTGTGTTATAAGGAGTAACGTTTGGTGGCTTTGGGGATTTTTTTGAAGGCAGCACCAGTCAGATTGCTGTTGGACAGTGTGTGATATGTCAGAAAAAGTCACAAAAGGTTGCTCTCCAGGGTCATGGTTTGAACAAGTGGGAGAATGGTGGCATCTTTCTTTCCTGAGATGGGAAGGATGGGACAGAGCAGGTTTCAGAGAGAACAATCAAGTTTTGACCCATTCGGTACACCGTAAACTCAAGATGACTGCTGCACACCCAAAGTTTAAGTTTCATCAGGAGCTTAGGGAGGAGGTCAGGATGACCAACAGCTATAGAATCAGGATGGAGAAAGCAGGAAAGTCACAGGCACAGAGATAGGTGTCATGGACAGAGAAGAGAAGGGGAGGAGTGAAATCTGAAGGCTGAGCCCTGAAAATTTCAAGGAGGAGGAGGAGGAGGACCCCAGTACGTAGCAAGAAAACCAGGAGAGTGTGGTTCCTAGACCCCAAGGAAAGAACAGGAGAGAACAGTCAGCTCTGTTCCATGCTGCTGAGCAACTATGAGGAAGGAACTAACTACCCCCTGGACTTGACAGTGAGCCATTTCAGTGACATGTGGGAGAAAAGCTCCACCAGGGTCACAGCAAGAGAGTAGAAGGTGACCGACTAGAGATGGGGAGGGGAGCTTTGCTTACATGGAAGTGGCCATGGTAGTAATAGTCTATATGCAAGATATAGATTATTATAGCATGCTTATGTGGTGCCAGAAAGACTCTGGGAGAAAGGGAGGGTGACGATTCCAGGAGGCAGAAGAAATAATGCCAACAGCAGAGTTCTGAAGAAGTGGAGTCAGTAGCCAAGTTGACTTTGGGCAGGAGCAGGGACACTCGGTTCATTTTAACAGGAAGGATGTGAGCTTGAAGGGACAAGTAGAGGGGAAATTTTGATGATCCTTTTCTCAACAAACCAGAGCTACTCATCTGCTAAGGGGAAGAAGAGAAAGGAATTCTGGAGTTTTGAAGAGAGAGGAAAAAAGTGCGAAGTAATGTTTTCGGAGAGAAAACAAAATCTCTAGTGAATAATCATAAGATTTCTCCTAAATATTATATATCAAATCCTACTTCCCCCTTAATATATATTGCATTTATTGCATTTTTCCATATATATATGTATGGAAAAAATATATATATATACAGGCATCTGTCATATGTACCTATTATAATTTTAATCGTGTCCCTATTGATTGTCATTAGTCATATCTAATAATTTAATGTAAATAATAGTACAATTAACATCTTTAGGCATAAATAGTTTTCTGTATTTCAGATTATTTCCTTAGGATATAGTCCCATAAAGAGCTCTAGGTCAAACTCACTTGATCCATATAGCAAAACTGCCTTCCAAAAAATTATACCTGTCAACGCTTCTACTAGCAGTGGATAAGAGACTGTTTTATTACCGTTTTACCAGTATTCAACAATATCATCTTAAAGGTTAAGACCATAAAACTTCAGCAGTTTGATAGCTGAAAGGATTGTTGTTTTAATTTGCATCCTTTGGACATCCCTGTTTCCAAAGCACCTGCTTTGAGTACTAACTGGAGAAGGTGAGTTCAGATTAAGGAGAACTTTGAAATCTTGGTCGAGGGAGGAGAGAGTCAGGAAGATTTTCTGAGCCGGGAAATGACACAATGGAAGTGGTGTTTAGGGAAGTTTAGTCTGCAAGGAGCTGCAGGATGGCCTGGAAGGAAAGAGCGGCCACTGGAAGTCCGGGCCCCCAGTTGTCATTCAGATCCCTAAACCTGGATGGTGGGAAAGGAAATGGAGAGGAAGAAATGGAAGCACATTTGCAGAAACAGCCTACGGGAATTGGTGCTTTCTTGGATATAGGAGTAGAGATGAGTCCAAAGTGAATCCAATGTTTTAAATCCAGGCGACAGGAAAAACCAGCACCGTCTTACAACTTTGGCTAAGTCATCAGATCTCTTTGGAGATGTTTCCCTACTACTGAGTAAGAATAATAATTGCCCTGCCTATTTCACGGTGTTGCTGTGAGAAACAGCTGAGATAATTTCAGTGAAAGCTTTGAAGTTTTGAAGTATAAGATATAGCATGCACGACAGTCATAGAATATAAATTAAGTACTGGTATACAGTGGGCAAGTGCCGGTCAGGGTACATTTGCAGCATCAGCTACCTTGCTACTTATCATCTCTGTCATTCAGATCCCAATGTAACACCATAAATAAAGTCAAAAGACTTAAAGATACCACCCTTAGTACTTTTCTTGTAATTATTATTTTTTTAAGACAGAAGCTCCCTAGGTTGCCCAGGCTGCCCTCAAACCTCTTGTGTCTCAGCATTATTCTTATAATTTTTTTCCCCCATTGCTCAAATAATCTTCTCCTTCTATTTTTGTGCTGCTAGAGATGGATCCGCAGGCCTTGCGCATGCTGGGCAAACATATCACTAATCTACATCCTCAGCCCACCAGCCCTCACATCTTCTGCCCGTACTTAATCCACAGTTGTTTTCCCAAGTCTCCATACTGCCTTAACCTGTTGGGCTTCACTTTATAGACCAGTCATTACGGTGTAGGCCCTGTTCTGTTGAGGAACACACCTCTTAACAAAGGTCCTATGTAGGTTTAATTTTAATTCTTTCACCGTGCCAACATTTTGCCACGTTGGCTTTAGATGTCTCCTTCTCTCTCCCTCCCTCTCTCTCATGAAATAAAACCTATAAATACTTTCTTTGTGCTTCTGGGGATTAAACCTAGGACCTTCACACTGAGCTACACCCCAGCTTTTAAAACTTCATTTTTTATTTACTTTTATTTTGGGTCAGGGTCTTGCTTAGTTGCTGAGCTCCCCAGGCTGGGCTTGAATTTGTAATCCTCCTGCTTCACCACCATGCCCTG